TTGTATGATTCAATAACTCAAAAAAAGGAGGCCGTCGCATGGGTGAGCTTTTCCAAAATGGGAAATATAACGCAAAGCACCGATCTGAGCACCAAGTAAATCCTTAGGTAATCTTAAATCAGTTTCCTTAATAGCATTTTTTCCAGGCAAAAACTCGCACTGCAAATCCAAAGATCTCTCTGTGCTTAATGTAATTATTTTTTTTCTTTGTGGCTCGTGACATAGTGGAACAGGGCTCAGGAAAATGGGACCAGGGAATTATTATTATTTTTAATCTAAAAATTCATTTTTATGAAGTGCTTCTAAGCTGCCTGGCAAATGCCAGAAAGATGGACAGCATCCTAATTCAAACAGGGCTTCCTTCTGTAGAGGATATGTGAAGCTAGCTTAGGTCTGGAAGTCACAAAAATCTCTTGACCTCTCACCGATCCAAACAAAAGAAATTATAAAAACCCCAGGGAGACAACCAGCCTATATCCCTGTAGGTCATAGAGGTAGAGAGAAAAAATTAGATCTACTTGCCTGCAGCTTGATCATTTTTATTCTCCTAAAGATATGATTTCATAACGAAGGGAAGGGACCTTGGAGGTCTTCTAGTCCAACCCCCTGCTCAGGCAGGAAACCCTATACCATTTCAGACAAATGGCTGTCCAGTCTCTTCTTAAAAACTCCCAGTGTTGGAGCACCCACAGCTTCTGGAGGCAAGTCATCCCATGAGTAAGGATTGCTTTCAAAGTTACCTGGATGAACTATTTTTTTTTTTCTAAGAGATTTCTATTCTGCTTCTCCCATGTTATGGAGGCCATGGCCCAAACAAATAGGTTAGCAACAAGAGTCCATGAAATGATCCAAGCCAATTCCCAAATAAAGATCCTGATTCGAGTACGAGGAAGGCTTCTACAGATTCCACAAGGCAACAAGTACAGGTAGTCTGCGATTTACAACAATTCATTTAGTGACCGTTCTAAGTTGCAACAGCACTGAAAAAAAGGGGACTTATGACCGTTTTTCACACTTAACCACCACTGCAGCATCCCCAGGGTCACGTGACCAGAATTCAGAGGCTTGGCAACTGGCATGCACTTATGATGGTTGCAGTGTCCCCAAGATCCTCCTTTTGCGACCATCCGACAGGCAAAGTCAATGGGGAAGCCAGATCCACTTAACCGTGTTACTAATTTAACAACTGCTAGGCCGTAAAACGGGGCAAAAGTCACTGAACAACTGTCTCACCTAGCAAGAGAGATTTTGGCCTCAACTGTGGTCGTAAGTTGAGGACTATCTGCAGTTTCAGTGCCTCTGTTACCCACCATTCTAGAACTTTCCTTCAAGGTTCCTACTATTTGTGTAAACCATCCTTCCCTCTTTCCCTCTTGGAAAAAACCCAAGGCAGAAGATCCTTAAGGCAGATTTATTCAGTATTGATACCAGACAGTTATTTACTCAATCAATTTACAGTGCAGGCTTCCAGACTCTCCCTCTCAGCTGCAAGCTGCCCAAAAGCAATTATCTGCATTTTGTAGGCTCCTGCGAGCCTTAAGCATCCCATTGCATAACTGTGGAAAACTCCACTCCGAGTTTCCCAACTGGGAAAGGAGATCAAAAGCAGCCTCGGCGTTTACCTTCCACTCCTTTATAGCGCACAAGGTGGCTCCCACCGAACACGATGTACTAGCCTAGGCAGGCAGACAGCGCATGCTGAAATATAATTGCATTATGCTTGTGCTCCACTAATGATTAAGAATGGAATGGAATCGGTCTGTCCTGTGGTAGTAAATAGTCCAGGCAGACGATCCATCTTTGTGGAGACTTAAGGCTGGTCTTGAAGATGCTACCTAAAGGCCATATATGGAAATAAACCAAAGAATACAGGACTGGCCAGAAGTTGCACCAGGGAGAAAAGAGATAAAATTAACACAAAAATCCAGACACTTGGTGCAGCCCCCAATTGTAAGGAGGTGGTCTCTGAATCTAGCTTGGCTCCAGAGGAGCTCATGAAATATGTCCAATAAATAACTTCTTGGCAACAAAAATTGCCTCCTTGTGCGATATTTTGTCGAGTCTACATCCCTGTTATTTCTTGGTAATGTCCCATCCAAGCACTAACCCAGTCAAACTCTGCTTTGCTGTCTGAGATCGACCAATGGGGATTGGATGTTTGCTATTTGGCGGGACCAATGATGAAAACAAGGAGACAATTGATTTTCAAAGGCCTAGCCGCACATTATACAAAAATGTAGGTAAGCACCACTGGTGATTTTCAAAGTGAAAAGCAATTAGGAGAAGGAAATTAGCACTGTCCTTTGGGATTGGGCGGCATATAAATAAAATTAAATACAAATACAAAATACACTGTTAATTAAATCTTCCTGTCCACTCCAAGTCTTCCTCATTCCCTTGAAGTTTTTGCCATGCATGAAGCTCCAGAACTGTACTTGGTTCCATGTGAGGGAGAGGAGAGGAGGAGAGAGGAGAAAGGGGACAGTAGAGAAGAGAAGAGTAGAGTAGGGTAGGGTAGAGTAGAGTAGAGTAGAGTAGAGTAGAGTAGAGTAGAGTAGAGTAGAGTAGAGTAGAGTAGATATTAAATCTGCTCTCATGCCACATAAAAATATTTCCATTCTATGAACTGACTGCCCCCAAACGGTAGTCACACTGCAAGTTTCCCATTGGTCCAAACAGGCACAGGCCTCCCTGTTCCACCGTAAATGACATTACTTGAAAAAGACTTGTGGGTTATTCATAGAGCACCCACACCCTTGACCAAGCTGGATTTTCTTCTCTACTAATTCCAAAAACATTTTATCTCCGCTCGATCAAATACTTGTGTGTTACAAATAGTGATGACTCAGCCTGAAGGATTAGTCCCTGCCAAACCTAAGCCTTCCCACTTCAAGAGCGACATCAAGAAGACGGGTGCTCACTTTGGTTACAGAACGTAATCCTGAACAGATCCTGGAAAATTAGCCCTGAAAAAATGCAAAGGACTTGACATTTTTCCCTTTGGAATTCCAAGTCTTCCTTTGGGAATCCAGAATCTTTTTGCTGGATTAATATCATTCTGTTTTGACTGGGGGGGGGGATCATCCACAGGTGGCAGGTGTCACATTCCAACTCATGAGCCAATTCATACTGTAGCACCAAAAATATTTTCAAGCCGAGAAGTCAACAAGGAACTTTCTTTGTAAGATTCCAGGGAGAATTGGGCTGGCGTGCTTGATCCTGCTTGTTCAAGTGGGCAAAGCTTTCGCTGGGATCTGAAACTGGAAAAGTTTGATTATTCAAAACTCATGCTTGGTGTAGTCCCTTATATGGAGATCCTGGTGAACTTTATCACCGCAACCGAAGGGAGCTTGAAAGCCAGGCAGTACTCCAAATTCTGTCAGGGGACTTTATGTATTCAGAGGGCTTATAGAGCGGTTGCTCACTTCATCTTCCATTATGAACCTTTGGAGGAATCTGATGGCAACTTTTAGGCCAATTAATGTTGCTGAAAAGGATAAGCATCCAGGAAAGCTTTGAATGACATGGGTTGACCAGCAAAAGTGTTAAGAGTTGAGGGGTCCTTGGTGCTCTCTGAGCTGGGTGGTTTTCTTGCAGATGGTTCATGACCCAACTGGAGAACATCATCAGTGCAAACCCTGCTTCCTTCTAGCATTGATGATGTTACCTAGTTGGGTGATGAAACGTCTGCAAGAAAACCACCAAGCTCAGAGCGTACCAAGGACCCCAAAGCCCCCCTCCTCCTCCCTTCTCTTTCTCCTCCATTCCTCAACCCCCCTCCCTTCTAGCACTGATGCTATTACCTAGCTGGGCAATGAAACGTCTGCAAGAAAACCACCAAGTTCAGAGAGCATCAAGGACCACACAGTCCTCCTCCTGCTCCTCCTCCTCTCCACACCTTTGTAGCACTGATGCTGTTACCTATCTGGGCAATAAAACATCTGCAAGAAAACCACCAAGCTCAGAGAAGCACCAAGGACCCCTCATTTCAACCCCCAGCTCCTTCATTCTCCTTTATGCGTCCTACAAGAGTCCTCCTGCTCTGGAACAACCACAGCCTAACACAGCCCTGCTCTTCCAAGGCTGCACGTAACACAATAAGAGACTTTCAAATCCAGCTCTTCAGACTGATCGATCTAAGGCAAAAAAAACAGATGGCCTGGCATTATTTGCCCCCCCCCCCAATCCAGCCGTGAAACTGAGCCTCGTGAAGAGTTTTGTTGGTGGTTTTTAGAAGACCCTCCCTGGAATCTTCCGATGGCAACCCAGCTTTTTTTTCATGGGAATGCCAGAAAGTAGCTGGTGGGTTTCACACACACAAAAAAAAGAGTGGGTGGGTGGGAGGAACGGAGGGAGGGAGGGGAGGCAGAGACTGTAACCCAACACCAAGTGGGTTATTCCAGGAATATCTGCCTTTCTACCAATCGATGGGAAGGCTCGGAAGAGAGCAGTGTGTGCACCACTCCCCTTCCAGTTCAGAGTTTCCTATTTCTTGAAACTGGCTGTAAACAGAGCCAGGGAGGAGCCACGGGATTGCTCTGCCAACAGAAGCAGAAACTTTGTGAGTAATTTACTAGAGGACAAACAAGTGCAGCTCACATGCGGGAAGAACACCCTGCCGGATCGCCCAGCCGGAGGGTCTAGGACGTTTAGTTCGCAGGAGCTACGGGGGAAAAAAATAATAATGGGAGACCCCCTCGGCTGGGTCCCTTCTCCACCTGAAATGTTATTTATCAGCCATGTTTGACTCTGCAGTACAAAGGAACATGAGAACTGGACCGAAGGTAGGACTGGGGAAGATGGGGGGGGGGCTGGATGTTTGTGGAGGGGGAGCAGAGCTAGCAGCCTTGGCCTAAGATTGTCAAAGCAAACAGAAGGAGGAGAGTTTGCAGGGGTGAGATGTGGGGCAGGGGCAGGAGTCTGCTTCAATGTCCAGATGATTCTTTTGGGTGGGTGGGGAAGGGGAAGCAGATTCCCAGTAGGGTCCTCAGCGTCAAAGTGTGGGTTTCCATCTTGTAAGGTGGCTTGCTTTAAGGCAGGGGTGTCCACCCTTGGCTACTTTAAGACCTGTGGACTTTAACTCCCAGAATTCCCCAGCCAGCCAGAGCAGGGATGTCCAACCTTGGCCATTTTAAGACCTGTGGACCTCAACTCCTAGGTATGCTGGCTGGGGAATTCTGGGAGTTGAAGCCCACAGGCCTTAAAGTGGCCAAGGTTGGACACTTCTCTTTTAAAGTAACCTTCTCTGCTGTCTTCAACCGGAAATTATGGTTTGACTTGGGTGCTCTTCAGGTACAAGCAAATCTTGTGTCTTTGGGAGGAGAAAAAGAATTAAAACTCAACATATGTACTGGGAAGGCCATAATACAGGGACTTTTTTTAAAAAAAAAAGACCTGAAAGAGCATTTGGTTCGATGTGGAACTCAGACAGACGCGGTCTTCTCTTTGGGAGAAATAAAAGTGGCTTTCTTCAGTGGCTCTCCTCCTTGAAATGAATAGGTCTCTAATGTAAAGGAAGGCATGTGCAGGAGGGTGGCTGAACATGGAAAGGAAGAGCATTGCTGAACATGACCTCTTTATCTTATGTATCTGTAATCCCACCTTTTTATTATTTTTACAAATAGCTCAAGGAGGAGAACATATCCAACACACCTGCTATTTTCCCCATCACCACAACCACCCTGTCAGGTAGGCTGGGCTGAGAGAAACGGACTGGCCCAAAGTCAGCCAGCCGGCTTTCATGGCTAGGGCAGGACTTGAACTCAAGGTCTCCCGCTTTCTAGCCTGGTGCTTTAACTACTATACCAAACTGGCTGGCTGTGACGTTCTATAGAAGCCAACAATGTTGGGTGTCCCTCTATTGCTTTATGGGGAAAAAGTTGGTCAAAGGTAACATCCTTTAGGACGGTTACCGGGATGGGGAAGTGGTCCTCAAGAATGAATGGATGTTCAGCTCCTGAACTTCAGAAGGCAAAGAGAAGTTAGCAATTGGTAGCATAACGAGAAACCAAGGTGCAGTGACCCCAACAATTATAACTATCCTGTTTTCTTCAACAGTAATATCCCCACTCTGAAAGACGCTTTTGTTAAACCAGCATCTCCAAGGATAGAATCATAGAATCACAGGGTTGGGAGGGACCTTGGAGATCTTCTAGTCCAACCCCTGCCCCAGTCTACGGCAAGAGACCTTATATCACCCTGGACAAATGGTGGTCCAATCTTTTCTTGAAAGCTTCCAGCAATGGTGCTGCTTGACTACAACTCCCAGCGTTCCCAGCCAGTCGGCCACCGGCCCGGTCGACTGAGAATTCATGGTGTTGCAAAACCTCTGCAGGGCGTCCTGTTGGAGAAGATCAGGCCTTAATCTAGGGGCTAGGAAGGTTCCCCAGATTTACCAAGGAGTTATCCCCAGTTGGTTCAAAGGGAGGGCACATCACACAGAGAGGTCTGGTTATTTTGGAAAAAGTCTGAAGTGCCTCTTTGGAACATTACATTTTATTTTAATGGTGTTTTGTTTTGTTTTTAAAGGAAGTGCATTTGCGTCTGCAGCTCTAGATTCGGGAGAGATGTTATCTCAAAGTCATAATGTTAATCCTTCAGTTTAATAACAGAAATTATGGTACGCATGCCTTGACAATAGGTTACGAGGAAATCAATTATAAAAACATTAATTTTGGCACTCTTTGGAGGAAGAAAACATCTTATAGGAGGAAGGCAAGTTCTTAGAAATTACTTGGCGTGTTTATTTCAGATAAGGACCCTGGGGTGTTCTTCCTGACCTGTTCGGAGAAGGGCTAAATGAAAGACAAACAAGGAGCCATGTGCTTTCAGCTGCGCAGACAGTGCAATGTTGAGCCTAGGCCAGGTTTTGTAGCAACACACCAACGCAGCCCTTGGCACCTCAGCTGAACTCTTCTCGAGTTGCAGCCGAACGTCTAACCAGAATCAGAATCACAATAGAGCTGGAAGGGACCTTAGAGGTCTTCTAGTCCAGCCCCCTGCTCAAGCAGGAGACCCTATACCATTTCAGACAAGTGGCTGTCCAGTCTCTTCTTAACCCTTAACCCGGGTTAAATCTATCAGGGTCACTAAGACTGCAATTTCCATTGGGCTGTAGGGCGGAAGGAAACAAGGGGTTGCCCCAAAGAAGAAGAGCGGGTGTCCACCTATTCTCCAAAGCCCCTGAAGGCAGGACAAGAAGCAACGGATGGAAACCTATCAAGGAGAGAAGCAACCTGGAACTAAGGAGACATTTCCTGACAGTGAGAACAATTAACCAGTGGAACTCCTCGCCTCCAGAAGTTGTGGGTGCTTCATCACTGGAGGCTTTCAAGAGGAGACTACACAGCCATTTGTTCAGAATTGTATAGGGTCTCCTGCTTGAGCAAGGAGTTGGACTAGAAGATCTCCACGGTCACTTTCAACTCTGGCATTCCCTATCTTAACCTGGTCCTTAATCATATTTTTCATTTCAGGGGGTTACCCTTTCATTACGATGACTGTATTTTCTCTTGGGGACCCCCGATAAATGAAGGGGGTGTTCCTAAATTATGTATATATGAAAGCCTCCTTGAACCATGCAGGGATGCAATCAAAATTGTGGAAGAAGGAATTCAAGGAGAATGTCCTTCTTTTTAGATGTCCTTTACATGTGGCCAAGGTCTTGTCTTCCACATGAAAATGGCCAGACCTAGGGAGACTGACTCAAGCGGTGAAGCCAAAATCTCCCCCATACAGGAATGAATTTTGGGAAGGATCTGCAAACATGTGGAATAATGTGGATGTTCTGGCAGATAAAATGTGTCCAAAAATAGAAAAACTGAAGGTCATCTCTGCAAAATACTGGAAAGCAATTAAAAGCACAGGACTTCTTGATTCAATCCTATCCTATCCTATTAATAACCGGAACATGCCTGTATAAAAAGCTGCCTTTAAGGCTGTACTATATTACTGGGAAAAACACATGTCTTGCGAGGAATGTTGCCTCGATTTACCAAGACAAATAATACTTAAGTTTTTACAGAGAGTTTTCAGAAAGGAACACAATCTATTTTTTATTTTACTCTGCAAAGATGGATTAGAATAATACAGCCTTTGTAAGGGTTAGAAACAGAATGAGAGAGAGAACTGCCTTAAACCAAAGTAACACAAAGTACCTAATAATTTAAATGTATTAATAATTAACCCATCAGAATCACAAGATCTCTACTGATTTTTTTTTAGACATAGACATTGAGTGCGAATCTACGAAACCCATGTTCTTGAGCAGGGGTCTTCTAACTTGGCAAATTTAAAACTTGTGGACTTCAACTCCCAGAATTCCCCAGCCAGTCTATACTATAGAGCTTCTTAGTCATCCTGGTCATGATTGTCCCCAGTTGCTTTTTCAAGAGGCAACTGGACTTTCTTTGTTTTTCCTTGAAGACATTTCACTTCTCGTCAAGAAGCTTCTTCAGTTCTGGGAGTTGAAGTCCACAAGTCTTAAAGTTGCCAAGTTCGGAGCGCCCCCGGGCTTGGGGAACCCCAACTGAATAATGCCATAACTGAAATTTCTGTTATCCCATAATACAACTCAGAGCTGGTCAAGTTCGGCAGTTCGTGGTGCAAATATGGAAGAAGTTTGATTTTTGTCTTCTCAAAAGAAGCGTGCTGACATTCTTTCTTTTCTCTTCTCCTGCAGAAAACCTGGTAACCAGCCGAGAAGGGTCCTCCTCGTCTCGGGAACGTCATTATGTGGAGCTGTGAAGCACTCAATGGTTCCAAAAACACTGAGGACCAGAATCTGTGCCATGATTTTCATCTGGTGATTTCCATTTTGTCTCTGCTCTACCTCGTTATCTGTTTCCCCATCGGCCTTTGCTACAATGGGCTTCTGGTTCTGGTCAACCTGTGCAACAAGGCTACCATGACGATGCCGGATGTCTACTTCGTCAACATCGCCATTGCTGGCCTCATCATCAACGCCATCGCCCCCATGTACCTGCTGGGACCCATCAGCACCAAATGGGCCCTCTGGAATTTCAACAACGAAGTCTACATCACCTTGATGATTTTATTCAATGTCTCCTCCTTGGTGATCATGTATTCCATTGCCTTACTCAGCTTGGACTACTACATTGAACGGGCTCTGCCGAGGACTTACATGTCCAGCGTGTACAACACCAAGCATGTATGCGGCTTCATCTGGGGAGGGGCCATGCTGACCAGCTTCTCCTCTCTCTTGTTCTACATCTGCAACCATGTCTCCACGAAAATTATCGAGTGCTCCAAAATGCAGAACAAGGAAGCTGCGGACGCCATCATGGTTTTCATCGGTTACATCGTGCCGGCCGTCGCCGTGCTCTACGCGCTCGTGCTGATCTTGCGAATACGCAAGGAGGCCACACCACTGGACCAAGACACTGGAAGACTGGACCCCTCCGTGCAGAGGCTTTTGATTGCTGCCGTTTGCACCCAGTTCACCCTGTGGACACCCTACTACGGGACCCTGCTGGTGAGCACGCTGGCCGCCCTACAAGGCAAAGGGGTGGAGGAGAGCTACAGCCGGGGGTTGTATTTTACGAAGGGGTTCTCCAAATTCCTGGCTTTTTCCAGCAGCGTCGTCCTGCCTCTGCTGTACCGGTATCTCAGCAAAAACTTTCCAGGCAAACTGCAAAAGCTGCTAAAAAAGCTGCACTGTGGGACTCAGCCATGTTCGCACGAACGCACAGAGGTCCAGCAGGTCGTCACGTAGGTATGAAGGAATGCTGGTGGGCGCCAGGTTGCCGAGCTGAGTCTGGAGGCCGCTGAGCGAGGGTGCTGGAAAGGGTGGGCCCACGTTGGCAACTCGCCGTTTTAGCCTACCCAGGTAGTGACTCTGCGGAGAGAAAATTGTTGAGAATCTTGTCTGGGGGTTAAAATCGTAGTTTGATTTCACGAGTTTTGATGCACTGAGTCGGTTTTGCAGGATAAGCTTTGTTTTAGCAATCTTGTGTGAAGAAAAAAACCACAATACCCGCAGCAGGCTTTTTGACCGAACACCTAGCACTTTGTAATCTTGTAGAATTTTTCTTTTTTAAAAAAAGAGAGGTATTTTTATGTTTTCATATAAAATAATATGAATTTTAAATTTACAAAGCAGTTTTAAGTCAAAGGCCAGAGTGGCACCTTTTCAGTTACGATAATATCCATTAATAATCACGCTGGTCAAATTGCGTCACAGCCTAGTATGAAACTAAATTTTTCCTAATGTACAAAGTTATGATTTAAACAAAATCTTTACTTCTAACTCTAAAGCAGGTAGTTTGAAGATGTCTCTTTGAACGCCTTTGTTTCTTTCTCCATTCAGGAGTGAACAAAAAAGAGGCTTGCCCGGTTTTATTTTACACTGTGAAAGCATTTCAATCAAACACAAGGATACAATTTTGTAGAAATCATAGGATGTTGCTCTATATAGTAAAATGAAGGACAGTTTAAAATGAAGTCAAGCTTAAGATGCAAACGAAAAATCCAAAAGGGCACCCAATGAATCACTCACAAACATTCCTTAGGATGTACAGCATTCTTTTCATGGCTGAATTTAAAGCATTAAAAGTATTAAAATTAAAAGTATTATCATCACTCAAAGAATGTTTGCAAGATATTAATGGATCAAAGGAATGGAAGGGATAACACAGTAGTGTGAGTACACAACTTAGAGGAGATTCACAGGGAACAACAAGGATTTCTTATCCTTCTGGCCCTAGTTTTTATGCTGCTTTGGATTCTAGTTCTGTCCCTGACTCAGTAGTGCCATATCTTTTCCATCCTGTTGGTTGGACCTAACAACAAGCTAGCATGAAGAAGTAGTCTAGGATAGGCTACTAAAAGCCATATATACTGTGTTATAAAGACAACGTTTTGAATCTGCTCCACTATTATCACCAGAAAAGGTGCCCAAGAGGTTGGAAGATCCCCCAGGTCAGTACATCCTAGAACAAAGTCTGGAAAAAGGGATGAGGAACATCTCTAGATGTTCAGATGGCCTCCAACACAGGTTTTCTCCTTGGTTAGTCCCCATCCATTGCTTCTTGTCCTGCCCTCAGGTGCTTTGGAGAATAGGTTGGCCTCCTGTTCTTTGTGGCAGCCCCTCAAATATTGGAATATATTCTCCATGCTCCTCGTCTGAAAGAGATTGTGAGAACTGAAGACCCAACTCCATTGGAGGCCACCAAATTGTGGAGAAAGAGTAAACGATGTATGGAGAGGTTTCGCTTCTTCAGAGGTAAGATCAGAAATTTTTGGATTACAAAACTGGCAGGCTGCTATGCTTTTACTGAGCTGCCATACAATCATACAATTTTGTCTGCTCCAACCTGACGTTTTGCTGTGACCCAGTGCCAGCTTCCCAGAGACGTAGGCTTGTAGAACAAATAGTTGAGTCTTCTCTAAGAGGCCTTGAGGGTGGATTTGGGAGGTTATCAGAGTTAAGACACTAATTTAGCCTAGGGAGTTACCACAAAGTCTAATTTAGTGGAGGGAGTTACCAAGATTCTTTGCAGGTGAGGAAGAAAACAACAGACCTTGTGTTTGCCGGGCTTAGCTGATGTCTGATTAGTCTTGCGTTGCTCGGTCATCAAGCTCAGACAACTTCTAGGTCCAGCTCCTAACTGGGTAAAGAAATTCCCACAACTCTAGGTTGGGTTCTGGGTCTTTGTCATAGATTTCATCTAGCAAGATCTTTTTTTAAAAAAAAAATGAAAAAGGCTGAGTACCTTACTTTAACCGCACATATAAGAAAGTGCTATAAAGTCTCCTGCTGTTTTATATGCATGTAATTGGGTAATATGGGTAATTTCTGCCCAACTAATTGTGGAAGGTGTTTATAAGTGCTAGGATGTGGGGCTGACAACTCTTTAGGGCAGCGCAGCGTATCTCCACCTTGTCAACTTGAAGATGTGTGGACTTCAACTCCCAGAATTCCCCAGACAGCATATTGGAGAATTCTGGGAGTTGAAGTCCATACATTTTCAAGTTGACAAGGTGGGACTTTCTTTTTCTGAACCTACACATTACTAGGTCAAAGGACAATTGTAAAAAACAAAACAAAAACAAACCAAGAGCCAAATGCCTTGTGTAACTTACATCTCCACATTATTAATATCCTGTATTGGAAGCCACTTCGGTTCAAAACACTTGCATATTTCTCCGCAAATCTTACTCACTGCGAATATCCTAGAGCCGTGCCTTTTCCCACTAAAACTGAGCCAGCATTACAGGGAAGAGAGAAAAAAATTCCAGTATGCAGCTAATTCTTAGTTGATTTCCAGACAATGTTCCACAAAACCACTAACGTTTATTCTTAGATCTCGAATGCTATCAGTTTCAAACAACTGCGTTCACTTTTGTAAACTTGGAATTAGGAGTATTTTCCAGAGCAGAATTTTGAGTGCGTTCCAAAGAGGTAACAAGTGGACAATTTTTGTACTATCAGCAAGAGATGCGATCAGAGGGAGGAGAGAGAGAAAATTGGAGGGGGATAAGATTTGAAATCTGTTCTCATAGGAACTTTTAGCACACATTTCTGCTGAAGCCTCTGAAGGATTCCAGCTATTTTTGTAAACAAAAAGTGTTTGCCATTACTCGCCGAACATATGAAACAGTCTACTGATGTAAAAAAGAGCATTTAAAAGAATTTATTAAATTATTTCCTAAGATTCAGATTTTATCACAGTTGAAGAATAAACTTCTCTAGCTCAATGAAAAGTACTGTATCTGGTCATACATAACAGAAATTCAGCACAGGAGTGCTGCTTTTAACAGTGTTATTTCAGAATAGTATTTTGTTTTTGTTTTTTTGTTTTTTTAAAAAAAGATTTATGATTTGTAGGTCTCCTTTTAACTGGGGAGGCAGTTATGTCAAATCAATAAACTGATAAATTGTTTATTCAGAGTCATCTTTGTCATTATTCCTCTCGATCTGACCATTTCAAGTGTTGCTTGGTCTTCCTGGATTTAAGTACAGCCTGTCCTTGATTTACAGCCACAATTGAGCACAGAATTTGTGTTGCTAACCGAGAAAGTTATTAAAGTGAGCTTTGCCCCGTTTTCCGATCACTAAACTGAGGGCAGGTGGCCCCCGGCGGGCGCAGAATAGATCCCACGTGACAAAAAGCATCTACAAAAGGGACCTAAAGCAAGATGGAGTGACAACCTCAGCAAATATGGCGGGCCCAACTGGCAAAACGCTACGGGTTGAAAATAAAACGTCATCCTGCAGTGGACGGACAAGGGCAAGGTTGATGAGGATGTAATAAACGTTCAGATGAGTTTGGAAAAGAATTGCAGCCAGGGAAGATTAGTCCTGATGAGCATAGCTCAGGGTTTATTTTTCCATAAATCCAACCTTTGTGTTTCCTGCTGGAAATTAGGACTCTGTTGTCGCAAGATTACCACATGGAACAGCACAGGCTTCATTGAGTATAAACATCCTGAGAACCAGATTTTATTTTTATTTTTTTTTAAAAGTACATATTCCCTGTTATGCATTCAATTCCAGGAAGAACAGCTATAAAAGCGGATATTCACACACACACATATACACACACACACATAGAGACACAGAAATAGCATCCCATCAGAGTTTCGTTTTCAGGAACTTCGTGTAACAAGCCAAAACATCAAGCCAAGGTTGATCTGGGTCATTTTTAATTAATGGGAGCCTGACGAAACCACAATTCCTGCTTCTATCTCATTGTGCAATGAGACAAACTGTGTTCAGCTAAAAAAAAAAAAATCATTTGCTTCTATTTGCTCACAAAGGAGAAAAGAAGTTGAGAGACCCAAAGATTCATTGCAGCCTGATCACCATAATCCAAAGCAACGTTTGCTGGGGATGATGGGATCTGTCATTCAGAACTCCAGGGCTCCTTGCAGAAGATTTTGTCCTCCGGACAATCTCAGCTAGGAAGCTAATGCAGGGAGGATGGAAAGAACTAAGCTGCAAACCGTATTTATTTATTCCTCTCCAGGAAAATAGAGCATTTTTTCCCAGTTTTTTCCAAAGCTTTTCAGAGTTGAAAGAGTTTAGTTCTCCCAAAGCACCCCCTTGTGGTTAACTGGCGCCCTCTTGTGGTTAACGCAAGGCAACACCACTGCCTTTATTCTACAATCATCCCCAAAGTTAACTGGCGTTTGCTGAGCTGGCCAGCTTAGCCCGGGCATGGCTCAAACAAGCAGAAAAGCTCATTTTCCAGCAGCAAAACGTCAGGGACAGACTGCTGAACAGGAAACTTTTTATGGCGGAGAGCACAAAGGAGGGAAAGCAGGGCTTATAGGAGATTTTTTTTTTTTTTTAGCTAAAGAAAAAGGCTTAACCGGTGAATCTGAATAAGTTTGAAGCTCTCTTAAGTTGCACCAAGATCAGAAGTCGAGCATCACTTAAAGGCAAATGGGGAATCTGGTCAGATTTTAGCCTATTTTCCTTCAACCCCTCGTGTGTCTCTGCAAACTAGCTCTACCCTTTTGTGCAAAAGAGGAAGGCAGAATCGGAGACTTGAGAATTACAAAAAGAGTCCATCAACCACTTTTTGAACAGCCTCGGGAGCCTCCGAAGCTGGAGCTCTCCACCAAGAGAAGAAGATCAGGGTTTGTTAGACAGGCACCCAAAAGGTCAAGCCAGTGGTGTAGCCAGAATTTAGTTTGTAGGCCAGGCGACTGTGATAAAACATAGAATAACAGACTTGGAGGGACCTTGGGGGTCTTCTAGTGCAACCCCTTGCTCAAGCAGGAGACCCTATACCATTCCAGACAATCTTTCTTGAAAACCTCCAATGATGAAGCACCCACAGGTTCTGGAGGCAAGTCGCTCCACTGGTTAATTGTTAAATTTCTCCTTAGTTCTAGGCTGGTTCTCTCCTTGGCAAGGTTCTGTTCGTTGCTTCTTGTCCTGCCCTCAGGGGCTTTGGAGAATAAGTTGCACTCCCCTTTTCTTTGTCAACCCCTCAAATATTGGAAGAGTTTCATTAGAAAGTGGCAACAGAGAGGCAGGATTGATAACAGGACAGCAAAGGGCAATGACATCGGAAAATTTGAAAAGAAAGAAAGAACATAAACATTTCGAAAGAAATTTGAAAATAAAGGGGCTTGTTTTCCTGATACTAGGTCCTCCAGACCTCTTGATCAACCAAAGACAAGGAATTTAGTAAATTCTTCAATACAAACCACTGTAGCGCTTCTGGTCCTGGAAAATGGAATTTCAAACATCGGAAAATAGAGAACATACATAAAGCGCTTTTTTCCTAAGAGAGAAGCCACTGGATGGCCTCACACGCTCAAAAATATATAGCTAAACACTACTTTTCTGTTCTGGAGCACCAAAATATCCCTCGGCTTAAGTCAACTTTAAAGTCACATGGTTGAGCCCTTTTCGCCCGCAATGGAGGCAACGTGTATGGTTTGAATTATGTGAAACCAAGCTCCTGTTCCTTAAAGAACTATAGGTTTTCTGTAAGCCTTACAGCTGGGTAATTGCAAACGTCACCAGCTCTACAGGAAGTAGCCCCGTGGAAATTATTTGCCGTTCAACAGCCGTTATCTTTCAATCTCACCATAAAGGAAGTTTTCGGTCTCTCGCATCTTCAGAGCTTTTTCCTTCACCGGTAAGTTATCGACTTTTTCAAATCAAATCAAATCTTTATTACGGTCCTGTATTTATCCCTTTTTCTACCCCATAAAAGCCCCAATGTATTGTGCAAGAAAACCACTTGCTATCCAGATGCTTCTCCTTTTTATAACACATTCAAAACAGAATTGTAAATATATGAAAATATATATCTGGAAAACGATGCTGTGAAAAAGCAAGAAGGTTTTTTCTCCAGGTCTGTCAGAATAATTTTGTAAAGTGTAAAGAAAGGGTTAGGTAGTTCCTGGGTGATCAAGAAGCCACATTTCAACCATTCAAAGAGGGAGAGAAGAGAAATAATCTTTTACTAAAATGAAATATTGATGTTTGGGGCATAAAGCAGGAACTACACCCAGCCCAGATCTCAAATGCAGTATTGTTGACGTTCTTTCATTATCTATTTCTAAATTAGTTTCTGTACCCTAAACTAAATTATTAGTGTAATAATTTCTATCTTTTTGCCTCTGTGAATCTTGGCCTTAAGTTTTCCTAAGAAAGATTAATCAAGCATCTACTACAGGGGTGTCCAATCTGTGAACTTCAACTCCCAGAATTCCACAACCTGTCATGCTGGCTGGATAATTCTGGGAGTTGAAGTCCACAAGCCTTAAAGTTGCCAAGATTGGACACCCCTGCTCTACTCCTAAGAATGATTAACACGTTTGCTCTGCTCACTTAAAACAATGTCAAGTAATCCTGAGCAGCTAGCAACAGATCTTTTGATTAGGCACAAAGTTGTTGGGGTGAATGCAACTTTTATTTTCTGTAGCAAAATGGGGCATGAAAAAGAGCTATTTATATAAAAAAACAGACTTAGTTCCTAAAATGATCGTTATTAGGCAGTCTTGTGATTTGGAAGGCTTGAAGTCATCAGTTCCAAAACTAGATCTTCTGATCTAAGTGTCTGGGGTAAACACGAATAAATCATTTCAGTCTTTTGGAGAGAGTTGCAAGGCAATATTTGTCATCCTTCTTGAGCGTTGCAGAGAACAGTCTGACTAACGGAATAACAGAATAACAGAGTTGGAAGGGACCTTGGAGGTCTTCTAGTCCAACCCCCTGCTCAGGCAGGAAACCCTATACCATTTCAGCCAAATGGTTGTCCAGTCTCTTCTTAAAAACTTCCAGTGTTGGAGCACCCACCGCTTCTGGAGGCAAGCAGTTCCACTGGTTAATTGTTCTAACTGTTAGTCTACATACATACAAACATCAGCTCTCAGTGTATGGAAAACAACAAAGTGATAAATCATAAGACACCAATAGGAGAAGGTAGTCAATATCCTTAGGCATAAGACAATGCTGTAGGAATTAGGTGTTTAGCAGAGTGATGGCATGGGGGGGGGAACTGTCTTTGTGTCTAGTTGTAGTTACCACAGTTGAGCAACACTGCCCTAAACTTTGAAGGCCAAAATCCCATAGGATGCATTCAAAGTCATAATTCATCTCTAATCAATAATCCTCAATTAAGTTTTCACATTCCACTCCTTTAATTAGCTTCCTGCACCTGGAGCAGCTTCTGACGTGCCTTCCTTTTCAAAGCCAGCAGTAGGGTGATGCCTCAAGAAGACGCAAAGAACCACAGAGGAATGCAAGGCGAGGAGGCGCCCCAGGGAGGGGTGGGAAGTGGAAAATTTTCTCCAGCTTTATATATTTTTTTGCAGCAGCCAGCTTTTCCGTTTGCAAACCAAAAAAAAAAAAATGCATGGCTTCCAGAATGAGTATGAAACCACAGTTCTAAGGTAGTGGATCCATCAAAGTGAACCGTTTCTCACTTTGAGAATAACTGGATTTTAAATCTGAGTTATTTTAAGAATAACTCAGCTGGGTTAGAAGGTCCACTTCCAACTCTGTTATTCTGTATTCCAAATGTACTGAGGGAAGTAAATATTTACGTTAGGATATCCAAGATGTTTCTTTGGGCTCATAAAATTCTGTACCTACATAAATGCAGCACAAACGGTGCCGGGGCATAAGCTAGCACTGTTATTCTGTGCTCATCAGATAAGGTGGATTCAGACTTAGGACCCCGTGATTGGTTTAATGACCTGGGTGACTCATTTAACAATTGTTATAAAAGCAGTTGTAACACTGAGTCCGTTCCTGTGGTGACACCACTGCAATGACTTACCACCAAAATTCTGGGCTCAAATGTGGCCGTTAAATTAAGGGTAATCTGGATTGCATGCCAGGGAACAAACTTAAAGAAACTCCTGTTTGAGATTTGGAGACGGATGCAGAAACTACTTTTTATGCAAGGTGAAAAACAAAAAATCAAAAGTGCAAAACTGACAAAAATCAGCTGTTCTCCAGGGAATAGAGCTTCTTCTTTGTAGTAAGGGTGGTTTCTGTTTTAATCTTGCATTGTCTTGGGTTCGGGTGTTTGGAGAAGCTGCTTTGAGCCTGATAAGACAGAACAGCCTGGGTATTGCAGCACAGCCCTCAGACGTGACCTCTCCCTGGCAGATTTTCAAAATAGGTTTTAGTTTTTATAAAAAAAAAGGCTGGCATGAAGCTTGGGCAGTTAGAACAGACAAGTAAAATAAGCTTTCGAGTACTTGGGAAAATACCACATGGCATTCAATACAAAATGCTCATCCTTATTGCAGCACAACGAACAAACAAACAAACCACAGCTAACATTGGCAACCCATTTGCTTCTCACAAAGGAGATGAATATCATCGTTGGGATGGTGATAGGGCACTTTTGGGGGGGGCTTATAAAATGAGACAGGCTGCATTTACTGTGGTCATTTGCTGCAGGAAAAAAAATGTGATTGAATCCTTTCATGTTTTTATTTGCTTAAAAGGAAATGTGATGCTTTTCCAGGGCAACAGAATCATGATGGGAACATATGATTGAGTCATTATACTTTTTTTTTTTTTTTTGCCAGTCTCACCTAAAGAAACCCTTAACTTTAGGAATTTATAACTGCTATCAGCCTAAATGCCCACGTATACCGTTAGCAACTAACAGTATAAGCAGATAAAAGCTAAATGACATTTAAAAGAAAAGTACTCGCAGTCTACAACAGTGGTTCTCAACCTGTGGGTCGGGACCCCATTTGGGGTCGAATGACCATTTCACGGGGGTCGCCAAACAACACAGTCCGCCATTTTTTTCCCCTTTTCCTTAGCTGTGCTACTCCCTTTTATTCTATTGGCTTTTGAAAGCCAATAGAATAGACTCTCTTGAATAGAGTCTAATTCTATTGGCTTTCAAAAGCCAATAGGAATTGTCCAGGCTGTCTCTGCCCTGCTGAGCCCGCCAAAAGTCCCATTCTGCAAATGGTGCTGCACCAGTTGAGTAGTCCTCGACTTACAACCGGTTGGGGGGTCGCGGCATTAAAAAGGTTGAGAACCACTGGTCTACAATGAGACCTGGGGCATGTTTAAAATCGTAAGGACCCAAAAGTAATGCTAAAATTCTTTTATTGTAAATTTGTATATATATATATTTTACTATTGTTCTGAAACGCCAATGGTCAACACGGAAACTCAGACAGATTACATGGCCTGGAAGGATAATATCCTATTTAAAGTATCTGTACCACTGGGATGTAAAGATCACAATGGCCCCCGGATGCTGCGACCGTCATAAATGTGAGTCGGTTGCCATGTATCTAAAATCTGATCATGTGATCAGAGGCATGTTGCAAGGGTCATTAAGTGTGAAAATGGGTCAAACGTCACTTTTTTCAGTGCTTTTTTCAAATGGTCACTAAATGGACTGTTGAAAGGCGAGGACTACCTGTAGGTCTAGGATGGTCACAGAAACAGAAAGAAAAAGGAAGAATAAATTTCCAGGATCCATGCCCCATTCCTACGAATGGCGCTCTGATGAGACTCTTTTAAATTTAAACACGAAACACAAAACATCAATCTTGAACCTGGAAATAGAATTTATATAAATTGCCTACAGCAAGGAAGGCGGAGCCAGCACTTCTCAACTTTAAGAGGCATGGACCAACTCCCAGAATTCCCCAGCCACATCTGGCTGGGGGATTCTGGGAGTTGAAGTCCACGCCTCTTAAACGTTGACCCAGCTGAGGAATACTGGCCTAGTCTATATATTTCTAAATAAACTTTCTCTTTTTTGGGGATATGGCCCATAACTCTACTGTCTTCATTTAGACTTCTTTAGAAATATACTGGACATTTTTCCTCCCGGTGTACAGACTTCCCTGGTTTATTGTGTGACTTCACCTCCTTTAAAAATATCCTCTTCTCTTCCCGTTTCAGCTCCTGCGGGGCCCACCGCCCTCCCTCAAAATGCTCCCGCATAACATGACCTGGATGAACTATCCAAGCCTGAGCAAAGATCCCTCCACCAACTTTAAAGAGATTATATTTGTCCAACAAGTCATATCAAGGTTCATGCACGTCTACATCGCTTTCTTTGTGCCAACGGGTTTATTAGCCGGCACGGCTATCCTGGGCATTTGCATCCAGAATTATCGGAGTCACATCCTGGACAAATTAGACATCCTGTTTTTTTCCCAGACGGTCAGCAATGTCTTCCTCATCCTTTTATCGCTCATGATCGCAGTGCGGCCGGCTTATCTTCAAGTGTCCTACTTGGCCTGTGGAACGCTGTCATTCTTTTTCAACCTGGGTTATTTCTCTTCTCAGTTCCTCCTCCTCGTAATCATTCTCAGCCTTTGGCTTAGCAGATGCCCTCCCCAAAATGCTCTGATCGGTAAGGCACACCAGAGCCCAAAGGTGTGTGTCGGTTTTGTCCTGGTGTGCAGTTTCTGCACTGCCTTGATGCTGAGTGCCCTGCTGGGCATCGAAAATTACCAGGAAGAAACGGCCTGCCAGCTGGATCCCTTGTTTGCCTGGCCTGAATATGAGATCATTAAATTTACCTTGGGGTTCTGTGCACCGTCGCTAGCGGAGCTACTGTTCTCTATCCTAGCATTTGTGAAAGAGACTCAGGCAGGCAGATATTCCTCCAGAAAAAACAGCCAGCCCCGTTTGCCAGTTCTGGCCATCACGGCAAGCATGTTGGCGTGCCGCCTGTTTTACAACATCCTGATCCTGGCCAGGACCAGCTTGAAGATCAAGGGAGAGGCAGGGACTGCTCAGAATGAGCTGATCATGAATATAGCCGAGGTGGTTTTGTTCTGCGAAAGCTGCACTAGTTTGGTGATCCTCCTCTTCCTGCACCCCCCTTACAGGACCACCCTGCTGAATACTCTTAAAAACCTCACAACAAGTTGCAGGAGGAGGGGTGGCAATCAGGCCCTTGAAATTCAAGAAAACCAAACTGGACTTTGTGAAATGCGCTGATGCGATGGGCCAAAATATTCAGCCTTTTGCAGAACTGCGCCTCAGTCGAGGTCAAGAAAAACAGAAACTGGATGTTCTCCTTGTTCGTCAGCTGCGGGGGGGGGGGGGGAGAGGATGTTTTTCTCAAGGGGGGGCATTTGGAGGACTACCACCCCCATAACTCAGCCCATGTCTTGTTACAGGCTGGTGTTTTGTTCCTACAGGCCTGATCGATGCAGCAGGCTGTGCAATTATGTGAACAAACAGGACTTTGGAAGAAAAAACTGCCCTCGCTTCATTTCTGTGTAATCAGGGGTTGGTTTTTTTGGGGGGGGGGGTGGTGGCATGTGAGCTTTTGAAATTTACAGAAGGGCTGTTTTGAGGATCAAGAAGGAAAGGTGAGCCTCAGAAAGAGAAAGGTGATTTCCTAAAAGTGACCACTTCTTTTAAAAACTTGTGACTGAGAAGAGTCAACCGCCACCAGGAACTCTAGATTCCCCCAGCCCATTAAAAACAGCCCTTTTCCTTTATTCAGGGAGTATTGATAATTTTGTTTAAATAAGTAAATACAGGTAGTTCTTAACTTTACAGCCGTCCATTTAGTTCAAAATTACAATGGCACTGAAAAAAAGTGACTTGTGACCGTTTTTCACACTTACGACGGTTGCGGCATCCCCAGGGTCAGGTGATCAAAATTCAGACCGTTGGCAACTGACTCATATTTATGACGGTCGCAGTGTAACCTTCTGACCAAAAAAATCAAGGGAGAAACCAGATTTACTTAACAACCATGTTGTGAGCTTAACAGCTGCAGTGATTCACTTAACAAGATGTGGCAAGAAAGGGGCAAAACTCGCTTCACAAATGTCTCACTTAGCAACATAAATTCTGGGCTCCGTTGCCGTCGTACGTCAAGCGCTGCCTGGAAATAAGTCTAAGGCAGCCTGTGAAAGCATCCAGCTTTTGAAATCTGAACAGGCAGAAAACCGGCCATCTTCAAAAAGACGTTGCGGCTTGGATGAGGTTTGGAGTCAAGAGCGTTGGAAAAGGAGCTAAAACTTAACCACACACTGCAAAAGGACACCAGTGTTTGCCAGCACAAGGCAACAGCTCGACAACTAGAAAATGTGGACTGCGGTGTCAACGGCAAAGGAAAAATCTTGTTTGCAGAGTGACAGGAGGAAAGACGTGGCCCTTGCAAAGAAATTGCAGGTCTCCTCGGGCTTGGAAATTCCGTTCTCTCGGTTGATGAGAACAGGCTGAGGTGCTGAATTGCTAAATTCTAGCCACAGGCTTGAGTGATGGGACGAAGAGCAGATGGAATAAGTGATGGAGAAAGGATGAGGCCCAGTAAAGGTGCCTAGGACCCCTTGATGGCTCTTCGGATGTTTAAAAAAATAGATGGGAAACAAGAAATTACACCAAGACTTATGGATAGAAAAACCCAAAGTTGATAAGGACGATCGTCCTTTCCTTTAATGAAGCAGGGCTCTCCAAACTGGGCTATTTTTAAGACTTGCGGACTTCAACTCCCAGAATTCCCCAGCCATCACGTACACAGCTGAAAATTCAACCACAGAATAAAGGGATCAAAACTGTTCTTTTTTTTACTACAAATAAACCTGGCTTCTATTTTTTCTTTCTCGTTTCTCTCCCTCCACTATGTACCTTAAATAGTTCAGTAAATATTACAGACCCAGTTGACACAGTCCTTAGTGCCAATCTGTCTACTATTAGAAAAACACACACACACACACACACACACACACACAGAGAGAGAGAGAGAGAGAGAGAGAGAGAGAGAGAGAGAGAGAGAGAGAGAGAGAGAATTCTCTCCTCCCATGGAAAGAAAAATAAAATAAAATTTGAATTTTGGTTGCAAAAAAAGACAGGAAAAGAGTCAGAATGAATCCTTTAAATTCCTAACCCTGTTAGGACTCTGGAGGGACCAATGCTTCTTTAAACGTTGGCTTTTCCACAAATTCTTTTGTCTGACATCTTTCCTTCGTCCCAGCTAAAATGCAATCCAAATAAATGCAAAAAGCTATCAATTCTCACGCAAGGGACGAGCTTAGGTCTGGGGTGTAGTGTGTGTGCAGGCCAGGAGGGGGCCTGGAGTGCTAAAAGCTCATCAGAAAAATATAATTTATTCAATTAGCAAAATCCTGCCTCTGCTTCTGAGATGTCGTGATGATTGAGGCAACCGGGTTAGAATTTTTGATATGCATAAAATAAAGACTAAGAAAAATTAACAGGGCAGGAATTAATACACTTTTGCTACCTTAGGATCCCATTTAGATTTAAGCTTCTGCCTCGCTTCTGCTTTGCTCTTCGTTCCCAACAAATGGCAAACAACGGGTTTCTGTGCATGCCAATATGACATGATTTTTCAGCGGTTACAAACACATCCAAATCATTTTTTTTTTAGCAAGCATTAACAGGATGTTAGAAACTTGGCGTTCACATATTTGTTTCGAGAAGGAAGAGAAGGAGAAGGAGAGGAGAAGGAGAAGAGAAGGAGAAAGAGAGCCTACAATTCAGCTTATTTTTCTTCCTGGGGCAATTTAACCCATGAGCTAAATTGAAAAAAAAAAATCCCTCATAAGATGAGTGAGAATTACTAGACTAAGTGCCGAGATAGCACACTGAGCTCACATTATCCCTTTACCTGGAGCCTCTGTCCTTTTAATATCCCATTTTTCCTGCAGATGTCTGGACCATAAATATCTGGGCAGCCAGGGCTTAAATTTCAGTGGGCCTGGAGATCAGCAAAGCAAGCCGGCTCTTGTGTTCCACACCCATCACTATTGCCAATTAGATGTCATTTTATATTGTAAAGCCCCATCAAATATACACTGATTAGTAAAAAGAAGAATGGGGAAAACTTTACTTTCTAACCAAAAACAATGTATGCCTTTAATATGCCTTAATTTTTGTCTTCTTAAAGGATTTTATTAGAAAGTAAAATGAGTTACAGGCAGTCCTCAACTTATGATCAAAAATGAGCACAAAATTTCCACTGCTAAGCCAGACAGCTAAGTGAGTGTTGCTCCATTTTACGACCTTCCTTGCCACAGCTATTAAAGTAATCCCTGCAGTTGTGAAGTTAGTAACCTGGTTGTTAAGTGATTCTGGCGTCCCCATTGACTTTGTTCGCCAGACGGTCCCAAAAGGGGATCACATGATCCCGGGACACTGCAATGGTCATAAACATGAGACAGTTGCCAACTGTCTGAATTTTGTGCACATGGGATGCTGTTACAGTTGTAAGTGTGAAAAATATGAAAGAGGTATGAAAGTTGGATATTTCAGTGTCCCTAAATGATGGTCCTTGAAGTCCTTCTGAAGCTTCTCCAGAATCAAAATAAGAATAAAATTTAACAGTACAAACTGTACTGACTATCAGGTCCTTTCCATTACTAATTTTTCTTCTACGACGGGTAGCAAGCCAAAATATTTTGGATGTGGCCACGGTTCAACTAGGATAGAAGTTCAGGTCCAACCTGCCAAGACAGTGTGTTGTAGAGTTATGTCCAGAATGTTAAAAAAAGGAACACAGCTTTCAGAGGGAAGCATTTCGTAGCAGGCTGAGGAGCAGGGAAAGGATTTCAAAAAAAGCAGGAATCTTCACACCACAGAATGGGGAACACTTAGCTTCCTTCATAATGGATACATATAATGGAAACTATACAGTGTTTTTATCAAAATAAACCCTCTTGAGGCACCTTAAAAGACTAACAAATGTAACATTGTGTAAGCTTTGATAGATCTTGGTCAACAAAAGCTGACACAATATACAACATTCATTGTATATACGGCTACTTCTCTGAAATCTGCATTAACCAACCAGGGGGGTGCCCAAGCTTGGCCCCTTTAAGACTGGTGGACTACAACTCCCAGAATTCCCTAGCCAGCATCAGCTGGGGAATTCTGGGAGTTGTAGTCCACCAGTCTTAAAGGGGCCAAGCTTGGATACCCGACACCCGAGTTAGACTATAGCCAGAAGATGAAAATTTTAATTTTTAATTGAAGCCTAAAGGGGGGAGATGGAAGGGGAGTGGGCTTCGTCCACAAATTGTGTAAATGTTGTCGTTCCTTAGACCAGTGGCTCTCAACCTTTTCTTCCCCACAGGCCCCCTTTAAATACCTCTTGTGGCCATGGACCAAGGCCACGGACCCCCAAGTCTTAGCTCAAGATTTAAATCATAACATTTTTTTCAAGTCTTCACAAAGACCCCCTTCCCACGATGACATCACGGACTCCCCAGGACTCCATGGACCACAGGTTGAGGACCAACGTCTTAAGACTAAAAAACTCACTTTTAAAACAGAGAAAAGGTAACTCTGAAGGATGCTGAGGCTTCCAATGGCATCTTCTATCATCCTTCCAAATGGTGCATTAGAATACGGGGTGCTTTTTCCCTCCCCCCCCTCAATCCTTCATCTGACTCTTGCTTATGAACCTGGAGATAAGAAATGCTAACGACAGCTTAAGGGGCACGACCTACCCAGGGGGATTTCGGTCTTTTTCTTTTAGCACCCCAAAGCTTCCCTTCCTTTTTGCACCCCAAGTTGCTTTTATAAGTCCCTTCAATTTTAGAGACAGTTTGCAAGGAGGGGTGCAATCCAGTTAAGTCAACGTAGGACGTCACAGCCACTAGAGCCAGCTTGCAAAAACAAAACAAAACAAGACCAGAAAGCCAGAAGAGGGCCTCTTTCTGGGGACAGCTCAGATTTGGCCGACCTTCACGGAACTCCAGAAGTGGTGCCATTCTAGATCCTCACCTGAGCTTCTACCTGTGCATGAACGGGATCATAGATGATAGACCCCTAGGGCTGGAAGGGACCTTGGAGGTCTTCTAGTCCAGCCCCTGCTCAAAGTAGACCTTGTACCATCCTGGTCAAATGGTTTCTCCAGTCTGCTTTTGAAAGCTTCCAGCGATGGAGCACTCACAACTCATCCCATGGATTAATTGTCCTCAGTGTCAGAAAATTTCTCCTTACTTCTAGCTTGAGTTGGATCCCGATGGGAAGACCTCCCATCACTAAAATTGTCACTGCCTTCCTGAGAAAGCTGAATTACTGAGCTGAGGGGGGGGGGGAAAGAGACTGACAGGGCACAGTGAGAATGGAGCATCATTGTCTCCAGAGGGAGCACGAGAGAGATCCGTGCGCTGAGCCGGTGGCGTTATAGACTTGGCTGTCATTCCATTCAGAAAGCAGGAATCAGCCCAGCTGCTCAGCCCTCCTTTTCCCACAGCCGGTGGATCGATCCCGTTCGAGCAGCCACTAGGTGGGGGTCATGCCGCTGTCAGCCGGCTTCCTCCCTCGGCAGAGAAAGCCTCCATCCACCTGCTGCATCAGGATTTAGAAGGGGGGCCACTGGGACATGGAAGGATGGGTTTTTGAAAAGGCTGAAAAAGAACACCTGAGAAGGTCTTTCAAATGGATGGAAACATGCTGGCGATCCAGAAGAGAAACTGGATGAACCAAGAAAGGTAGGACGGTCTTATTGGACTTGCTAATTTTCAGGGATTTGATCGGCTTTCTTCCTATCTCATTTTCATCTCATTTTTTTGCTCAGAGTATCTTAAAGTGAGGTTTACTTAGTTAGTAGAGTCGGTGTAATGGCATCTGGCTTTATCTTTCTATTTAAATAGGCATTCCCCCCCCCCCAAAAAAAGGAAAAGTGGGGGGGGAGGCAAACAATTCTTGAAATGAGCCTAAAAATCAGATAACTCGTTCAGCGGTTGAGAAGAAAAAAAAACTAGCTGGCAGAAACGGAGTTAAATTTCAACAAGATCTTTTTTTTTAAGTTGGAGACAAAAGGCAGAAGCGAGAACATCTATAAAGTCTTTTTTTTATTGATAGGATTTAATGTCAGATATTAATCTGTTGCCATAAACTATTTCAGCACTTTGAAGCATTTATTATTTTTAAAAAAAAACATGTACTGCATACCCCAGTATCATCTGAATAACATTAATTTCAATTACTTGACTGTAGAGATGCTGCCCTTAAATATAAACCAGCCTACCGGTAGTTGGAAGAAATCCAGCACTGGATCAGCTAATATTTATGGATGTCCAGCTGTGTACAATAAAGGCAAAAATAAATGAACCTAAGGACAGCTGAAAGTAAAGAACACAACTGAAATATTGTAGTGTTTTTGCACATCTTGTGCATAAACGGATTGTCACCGAAGCAGCATTATTTCAAGTATTTTTTTCTAAAAAAAAACCAGCATGCACTTCAGTCTACTTCAGGGTTGTTTATAAAAAAGGATTTATCGTACTCTTTCAGGAATAAAGCTTTTTTTAAAAAAAAAAAAAAAAAAAAAGCAGGTTAAAATACAGATGTACTCTGCTTCAACCCTCTGTCGGTAAATCAAAATTTTATAAGGCTTTCATACTTTTGAAAGAACGCCTTATCAAAAAACTGGATGTCTAACAGCTCCACAGTCATTCAGACATTATGGTATTTAGGTAAGGAAGTTATTTTTTGTTCTTGAAATTAAACAGAACAAAACCTCGTAAAGCTACTTTCTGCACGCCATTATATAAAAGAACTTATAACGGACAAGCAAACAATCAGAACCGCAAACATCAGAACCGCAAACAATATCCTACCATCTATTAACTTTGGAGGAAGATGGTTAGACAGTCCATCCACAAGTCCTAGTAGTATTTAATTAAACCAGGATATCACCGTATCTCAGACGCATCTAGGACAAACAGAATCCACCAAGTAAAGCCATCTTCTCTTCCTTTGAAATGCCGTTTTCACTGACAAAAATATATATAAAAAGCAGAGCAGATTCACGGGGAAGGGGAAAAAAGTAAAAAGCCAGGAAAATTCCTTTTTGTCCTCTCTCTGATCTGTAAAATGTTACCCCCTTTGCAGCCACAGCAAGGAGATAATAGGGGCTGTTAACCATTAATTGTCTATAAGAAAAAAGAACTCAATTCAGCAGAAAGCCGATTTCTTGTTTCTCCTCAAATCTGCTTCATTTCTGATTTTTATCCTTTTCTTGAAAATGCAACCCCTAAGAGGCACTTTTCATCTTGGCACTAAATGGATCTAAGCTGTCAAAAGCTGCTTGTTTGTTTAAAGCTCTCTGCACTCCCCGGCATGTGTGATTCCTCTAACTAACCCCCCCCCCCAAAGACAACACCCTGAGTTTACATGAGCAAATGCCAACGTCGCTCGTGTGGCTACACCGTTGGAGGCTTTCAATTCTGCAGAAAGGAGATTAATTTTCTTTTTCATTAATTGCAGGTCTAGCCTTCGCTGCGGGCTAAACAGGAGGAGACAGTCCTAGATGGATCTGCATCTTTCAAACCAGGAACAAGTCTTCCACGAAAGCAAAATGCACACACATTCCAAACCGCCTCTATGGCTATTAAAAAGCTCCTTTGTTACAGAAGATAAATTCGCAAGCAGTCTTCCTACTGAGGACTAGCATCTTTCTAATGATCTCCAAGAAGTTCTGAACATTCTAACTGATTCAGCCCTCGGAGGCTACAATCATGATCTCGGCCGGTCTCTTTGGAACCACGGCCCATCTAAACAGTCTGGCGCAGAAATCTATTATCTATTTCGCAGAGAATCACACCACGGAAATTTACACAGGATCCGCCTTTCCGGCACTTTGTAACGGCACCTACTTTGAACTCAACGGATCCCGTTTTTGCAACGAGACTCGGGCTTTCACCCTCGTGGACAAATCGGAGCAGCAGCAGTACGTGATAGGCCTTTTCCTGTCGTGCCTTTACACGGTATTCCTCTTTCCCATCGGCTTTGTGGGGAACATCCTGATCTTGGTGGTGAACATCAGTTTTCGCGAGAAGATGACAATCCCCGACCTCTACTTCATTAACCTGGCGGCGGCCGACCTCATCCTGGTGGTGGACTCCCTCATCGAAGTGTTTAACCTGGACGAGAAATACTACGACATTACCATCCTCTGCACCTTCATGTCCTTGTTTCTGCAAATCAATATGTACAGCAGCATCTTCTTCCTCACCTGGATGAGCTTCGACAGGTACATCGCCCTGGCCAAAGTCATGAAGTCCAACCTCTTCCGCACCATGGAGCACGCCAGGCTCAGCTGCGGCCTTATCTGGTTGGGCTCCATCTCGGCGGCCTTGGTGCCCTTCACGGCCGTCCATCTGCAACACTCGGGGGAGATACACTTCTGTTTTGCGGACGTGGCGGAAATCCAGTGGTTAGAAATCACGGTGGGCTTTATCATCCCGTTCGCTATCATCGGCCTCTGCTATTCGTTGATTGCCCGGGTGCTGATCAGCGCCCACAGACATCGAAGCTTGCGCCTTCGCCGTCAGAAAGCCCTGCGCATGATTTTCGTGGTGGTCCTGGTCTTCTTCATTTGCTGGCTGCCGGAAAACGTCTTTATCAGCGTGCAGCTTCTCCAGAAGACCGAAGAGTCTTCCTCCAGAGGCTGGTCTTTCAGACATAATTACCCCTTAACGGGGCACATAGTAAACCTTGCTGCCTTCTCCAACAGTTGTTTGAACCCGCTGATCTACAGTTTCCTAGGCGAGACTTTCAGGGACAAACTAAAGCTGTACATTGAGCAAAAGACCAAAGTCTCCATCATGAACCGCCTTTGCCACGCGACCCTGAAATCGGTCATTTCTGACAGTACTGAACAATCGGAAGTTTAGGCTAGCCTGTAGCACAAAGTTTAGGCTAGCCTGTAGCTGCTCCTTCCTGCTTCTTACTAACAGAAAAAATGTGCGTTTTGCCCTGTTCATTGTGTTTTTATAAGAACATGTAAAATGTGATGTGGTACTTGGGACTGCTTTAATTACAGAGGAGAATAAAAGCTTCGTCCAAAGGTCAGTTGCATTTATATAGGCAAGGAATCTGACAATTACTTATGGAAAAATGTAACTATAACACAATTCTTGAATATTGTTACCTACCTGATCTATGTTAGATGCCCTAGAAAATATAATAAAACTGCAGCGACACTGGGAAAAATTCAATAGAAGGTATTGATAGAAGGATGCAAACAAGTCAGTGGTTTTCCATTCGTATACATCATCTTGCAAACTCAGTTAAGGAAACAGCTATCATGTTCAACACATGATTCGATCTGAGACAGATGTATTCTGTGACATAAACTGAATTAAGGGGACCAGAAAAGCAATCCAGGTTTAGAGTAGAGTCCTCCCCTGCTGTTATTTTTAGAAGGGGTTAGCCAATTTGTTTTGGATTTCCAATGCTCCTTTCTGGATGTGAATCAGTTTGTAAACTAAGTAAGATAACTGTTTCTGACATGCATCAAGGCATCCATAGGTATCCCAATACACGTGACATTTCCTGGTTTAGTAGCTGTGTTGTAAGTAGAGGGGAGACAGATGGACCTGAAACACATTTTGGATCTACACATGGAGGTTTATAATTGACATTCCAGAAGATACACAGAACACAGAGTAATAGATTTGGATAGGACCCTGGAGGTCATCTAGTCCAATCCCCTGCTCAGGCAGGAAACTCTAAACCATTTCAGACAAATAGTTGTCCAATCTCTTCTTAAAAGCCTCCAGTGATGGAGCACCCACAATTTCTGGAGGCAATCAGTTCCACTGGTTGATTGCCCTCACCCTGTGAACAAGCTCACAGACCAAAAGGCCAGTACTACATCCGGCTTCCTCTAACATATTTTAAAGTATTCTTTACACAGCATTAGGAATCCAACAGATTCTGATGTAGCAAACGCATATTTGAATTGCTTCCTTCTGGCTACTCTGTTGAAGAGCTGGAATTAAGGAGAAAAGGAAATCTTAATGGATCCTTGTTTAAAACACTCAACTGGTTCCTTCAACATCCTCTTATTTGTCACTGAGGGACTGCAAGGATATAATTTGGATATTTGAACAAAGTATGATCATTTATTAAGCAGCTGCTATTTCTTGCAAGGAAGACACTGAGCTAAAGCTGGTCTGAAAATCTTAGGAAAAGGTTTACAAAAAGGAATTAAATACTTGGTGAAGAATTAGAGTCACTTGGGTTACATGTGTGTCAGCTGTTATGAACCACTCTTTCATAGGTGTTTTTTTTAATACTCAGCATTTACTCATAGACTTCACACACACTTTTAAATTCACAGCCTCTACTTTAGAATCAGCTCTGAGCTCTCATTGCCTAGAACGAAGAGATAATCTCCCATCTAACCTCATCTTTAGATGAAAAGCGAAAAGTCAACGAGAACTCACTTGGTGAGAAGCTACTGTTCCCCCCCCCACTATTCTTTGAACTTCATCAGTCATATGGATAGCAATATAAGGAAATGTCAAAGATTTAAACACTCTAAAATGCTGCATTAAAGAATCTTTTTTTGTCTGTGGCTTCTGTTAGTATTTTACGGTTGGACCCGGGTCAAATTAAACAGGCTCCCAATGAAATCAAATGGAACGTCAGCTATGATTTCAATCCTGTTGCAATTTCGATGGGATTTAAATGCAACTCCAGTAACTGCCTGGACCAAGCATAAAGCAACCTCTTTCTTGTCTTTGGTGGGAAAGCTTTGGACAAAGAGGAACAGAGAGATGCCTTCAGCCAGCCTGGCCTGGCAGTTTTTCAGTGTTGCAATGAATAAATGTTAAATCAACTGCATGTTCTCGTTTCTTCTTGCAATTATCTAGCTGAGTAAATCTGTTGGTGGAGCTCTGGGGAACAGTCAAGAGTCCAGTGTGTGTTGGCCACAGGGTGGGCTGATCACGAGAGAATAATAAAAATCCAACCGTTTGACAAGGGACGCCGGACCCCCTTTTAGTCATCTTAAAAACTTTCCTCTGTAGGGATGCTAACATGAAGGACATAAAGTCGTTGCAGCATTGCAAAAAGGCAGCGAGCAGCACTCACATTCTGGAAAAACCACACAGCGAGGAAGTAACCCGTGAGAAAAAATCTGGCCACGGAAGGAATTATGAGAAGTCTGGCATGTGGGATGTCATTCAAAATGACCAGGGAAGCAACTCGCTTAAAACATGCCTTCAATCAAGCAGAGCAGAACTGGAAGGGACCTTGGAGGTCTTCTAGTCCAACCCCCTGCTCAGGCAGTAAGCCCTATCCCATTTCAGATAAGTGGTTGTCCAGTCTCTTCCTGAAAACCTCCAGTGATGGAGCACCCACAACTTCTGAAGGCAAGCTGTTCCACTGATTAATTGTTCTCACTGTCAGGAAAGAGCCTGGTCTATTAATTAATTGCCTTTTTAATATTCCAAGGCCACTGACCAGCAAGACCACTAGTTACTGTCTGAGGAACTAGAGTTAACAACTCAACATAAGCTCCTTGTGCACAGCAAAGCCCTGTCACAGAGAGCTGAGCTACCTCCAGTCTCCAAGTCTCCCTAAGCACCCTCCCTTAACTGGCAGATTCAAATTTGATGACAATACAAGCCTTTATTTTACACTTCATTTCTCTCCCTTTTCCTCACTCAGGGATATGGCAATACCAAGGGCTAAGAATAAACATGGGTTTGCTGATTGAAGCACTCCTGGTTGCCAGCTCTGTTTTGTTCTCAGGCAAAACAGGTTATCGCCTTTATCTCATGGTGGCTGCTGTGATCTTCGTTAACAAATTGTTATTGCAAAGTTTGTAGAAATATTACAGGGTGATAAAACGAAGCAGCCCATCCCCAAGCTCCATAGAGCTGTGGAGTTTTGAAAATGGAGTTAGTATAACTGCACTTTGAACCATGCTGTGGTTAATTCAGAAACACATCCCAGTTCTTTAACACAACCAAGAATTGTGAGCTTAGAGATGCTTGTATTAGTAGCAAAGAGCAGAGAAATTATTGACATTTATTTGTGCTACTTAATAAAAAGGAAAAGGATCTGGGCTAAAAGCAATTAAAGATAACGATATGACCAGTGATCATATTTCATTACAGAAGATCACTAGAATATCCCTTGGCATTCATGATTTATTAGCATTGGAAGCCAGATTCTTTGGAAATCTTAGGGAATATTTTTTTCTGTGGGTCACAAATCACAAAGTTGAAAAGAGTGACTTGAAAATCACACATAGGGCCGTTGCATCATCCCTGTGGTCACGTGATCAAAATGCGGACACTTGGCAACTGACTCATACTTGTGACGGTGGCAGTGTGCCGGGATCAGGTGATCCCCTTTTGCAACCTTTTCAGAAACAAAGTCAATAGGGAAGCCAGATTCTCTTAACACTAACTTAACAACTGCAGTGATTCCCTTAACAAGACAGGTTACAAAATGGGGCACGACTCGCTTAGTGACCTCACTCAGAAACAGACATTTTGGGCTCAGCTGTGGTCATAAGCCGAGGACTACCTAAACATGCAAAACGGAAACCAATATTCCTTTTTAACATTTTGAACCGTCTGATTTAAGCAATGGCAACCCAACCCAGCGTCTACTGCATCCAGTACACGGTGGTGGGATCTGTTGGTAAAGCCTAAATTCCCAACCTTTTGAGACTCTGCTAAATAGGACGCAAAACATTGTGTTTATATCAGGAACAGTAGGAGATGTGAGAGCCTTTTGCCTGGGAAAACCATTTTCAAAGCAGGAACTGTTTTCCCAGCTGCGAATATGCCTTCCTGGGAAATTTGCTCAGTCCATTACAAAAATATTCAAAGGAATGCAAGATTATTCAGCCTTATCTCTGCATATAAAATATTTCAAACAAAACTCTCCGTGTTTTCTATACTTCGTGGTCACCGCGCAAGGGTGAATTAAGCTAGAAGCAGGGCAGCAAAAGTAAACCGTAACCAATAAATTCTACTCTGTTACAGTTAAGTTAGGCATAAAAAGAAAGGGTCCTCACCTCTCTAATATCTTCAAGATATTGTTTTGCTTTCCAGAAACAAACAGCTTTGCTTGTTTTAAAGCACACATTTATGCTGCGGGAAGGTTGGTAAGTTATCCGAGATAAACCAGATTGCAACATATGAAGATATGAATCTATTCCGGTTTTCTAGCTTGTCCTGATCATTTGAGCATTACAGAACACCAGACAGCCCAAATTCTGACTAGGCAAGGCCTCTGGTTTGAAACTGGTCAGCAAATCCCAGCTCATTAGATTAACATTACACACCTAGTCAATGTCAGGAATGACAAAATCCTCAGCTGAAGACTTTATGCTGACAGGCAGTAGAGTCAAAATAATCCCGAGTTCCATTTCTTACAAAACACTTCAACCTCACACTGATGCAGCTTTGCACCAAATCAAGTTCAAAGTTTGCACTTTAACAGAAGTTCTCAGGCAGACCCAGTTGTGCACATTTCAGCGAAACACAGCAACAAATCGGAGAAATCCTTCCCCAAATTAACAAGTACATTATACCGTTATATCTAGCTTTAAAATTAAACTAGAAGGCTGTGGGGTATTTTGGCCATCAAGCAAGAACAGAGAAACCAAAGGAGGACATTATTTTCCTCGTAAAGAGACAGGTCCGGTCACAAACCCATCTTTTAATTGATAACATACTTCAGTTGCTACAAACTGGAAGTTTTCAATGCTCTGTGCTACCAACTCTATACCATGTGAACTTGCAAGGAACAGCATGCCAAAAGTTCACACAAACTCTTCTTTCTCTTTACTCACAGCCTGGTCCCTTTGGGGCTAGCATGGAGAAGGGAGATGAGGGATTTCCTCTTGTCTCAGCAGGTCAGGTCAAAAGTAGTCAGTCGTTTTCTGCTAACAAAAGCCAGATTGTGCGGCTAAGCACAATATCTGATGGCTGGCGTATATGCTGTATGGTTAATATAGTGGGGGGGGGGAATGTTCTCAAATCTGTACAAAACTTATACTGCCTTGGGAGAACAAGAAGCAAATTCACTGCAAATGTGCAGAAAATGAAATGGGCCCTTAAATGCAAATATCCCATTTTTTTTTTCTGCAAGCAGTCCAATGGCTAAATTAAAAGAGCTTTGGTCTCAGGTGTAACTGTTAGTAACACAAATATTAAATAAAGGCGCACATTTACAGTAAGCAACACAGCCAAATAAATTTACCTTTCTTTGTAAGAATGTACACAGAAATGTACATAGAAGACACACAGAAATGGCCAAATATTCTTTTTCACACAGATACCTTAAACCAATGATGGGCAAACTTGTATCCCAAACACACCTACATCTATTTCTTCTGTATATTGTTAAATGAAGGCTAGATAAATTATCTCTAGGCACAGGAGAAATTAGATACTGGAAGAGATAACAATAATAATATGCTTAGGATGTCTGGTCTGCTCTACTTTAATCTAACTACAAAACACTACATGCATATGTTTTATAAATGACTATGAAAGATATTAAGAACCAAGGTCCTGTTTAAAAGTCTAAGACTAATAAATAGGTTTTCTTAGCATCCCAGCACTCCCCACGTTAAATTTCAGATGCTCTTCACTCAGATTAGAAAACAGAAAAATATAGACCACGTGGCAATAATCCCAACAAATTTTAAAAATTATAACATATTGTCTTGCCTATATTTTTGAACAAGTAAGACTCAGCTGAAAATGTGAACGAAAACACCTCTAGGATCAAAGGACTGATTCTTATTTACTCACGTTTAGTTTATGTTTTTTCAGTACAGGTTCATCTTCCTCTGGTGCCATTTGTGGCTTTGGATGCTTCGTGGATTTCTTTTTCTGTTTCATCTTCCTCTTTTCTGCTGGAAGGTGCTTTTTCTTTTCTGCCTTCATCAGTCTTCCTGAGACTTACTCTAGAACAAATAAAAAGAAATCATACCTGTTAAAGAGGTTTTTATCAAAACAAATCAAATCTCCCACCACACCCCCCCCCCGAAAATTTAACAACTTTGTACAATTATGTTATCAATGTTCTTTTCTTAACCTTTTTTTTTAAAAAAGGTTTGAATAAAGAAAGTTTTGAATAAAGAAAGTTTTAATTGTCTACGTGTGATGGTGGAATTGCAGATAGGCAGCCTGGAATATGCTTTCAGTTTAACCTGAGTTATATATAAGATTGTGGATAAAAAAATAAACATTCTTTTTGATAAAAAAAATAAGATTCTTGATAAAAACATGACCAAAAGCATCCATGAAAGAGACCTAAAACAAGATGGAGCGATGATATCAGCCAGTACTGAGAGCCCAACTGGCAAAAGAAAGCTGTACATGTATTTTTTACATTGTTTATAAATGGGCATTTAAAAATAAATATAGGGAATCTGCTTAAATACAGAGTTGCCAAATGAGACCCAAGTTTGCTTTTGCAAGCAACATTTAAATGTTGCCTTTAATTCTCAAAAGTCTCCAACCAGAATAAAACATTCTGGTTCTTGAAAGGATGTTAAACCCAGGCCAGAGCCTCCATCCTTAGCCTGGGCTCTCCACGGCCAGCCAACTTCTGCTTTTGCTTTTTTTTTTTTTAACATAGCAAATCTTTCATTTTTGACTACAGGTAGCCTTTGGCTTACAACCACAACGGAGCCCAACATTTCTGTTGCTAAGCGAGACAGTCGCTAAGTGAGTTTTGCCCGTTTCATGACCTTTCTCACCACTGTTTGTTAAGGGAATCACAGCGGTCGTTCAGTTAGTAATACGGTCATTAAGTGAACCCGGCTTTCCCCATCAACTTTGCTTCTCAGGAGGTCGCAAAAGTGGATCACGTGACCCGGGAGACTGCGACCGTCGTAAATGTGAGTCACTTGCCAAGTGGCTGGATTTGGATCACGTGACCGCCGGGACACTGCAATGGTCGTTCAGTGTGAAAAACAGTCCCAAATCACTTTTCCCACGGTCGAACAGTTACTAAGCGAACTTTTATAAGCCCAGGACTAATTATTCCCCCATCTGCTTGGAGAGCTCGCCCAGAGTCACCTTGTTGGAGCTGGTTGGGGCTAATGGGTGTTGTAGTTTGGGGCTTATGGCTGCTGCGGTTGGTTGGGGCTTGTGGGCATTGTTGTACAAAATCACGAGTCCTCCCCCTCCTCTTACACACACACACACACACACACACAAGGCGGGCCGGCCCCTAGTTTGGGCAGGGAGAAAATGGAGACTGGCCGACCCTGCGGGGTTGTTGTGAAGGGTGAGGCGAGAAAGGAGACGAAAACGGTCCCAAAGGTCCCTCGGAGCACGTAGGCAGTCACGGCCGCCGCCTCCGCCACCCACCCCGGGCTCACCCCAGGCGGCCTTCCCGGCTTCGTCAGCGGCCGCTCTTCCGTCTTTTCCCGCCAGCTTCCTTCTGGCCGCCGCCGTCCCTCCCTCCTCGAGCCTCAATTGGCTGCTCGGGCGTCCCCGCGCTCTGACTGGCCGCGCCGCCCGTCCGTCTTCTCGCGACAATTCCTACGAGTGGCCGCGGCTCCTTGTTAAGGCCCGCCCCCCTCTCGACTCTTTCGGATGCACGCTCTCTCCGCACGCGGCGGAGGCGGGGCCAAGAAAATGGCCCGCGATGAACACCAGTGCGGCTGTGTGAGGTGCGGCCGCGGGGGCGGAGAGCGCGTGCGCAGTCCTTCTTTACTGATTGGAAGAGGTGCGCCGGGCTCTCCTGCTCATTCTATGCAAATCAGTCTCTGTTTAAACGAAGCATTTAAAAATGATAAGTTAAAACCATTTAAAAAGAGAAGAAGCCCAAGAACCGTAATAAAAAAAAAATAAAACTCATATTTTGGTGAAAAAGCAGCAACTTTTCCCTAGTTTGTTTGGTGTTAAAGGGATATTTCTCAACTTTAAAGCTGTGTGGGCTTCAATTTCCAGAACTCCCGGGCCAGCAGAGCTGCAATAAAATGTAATAAAAGTTTGCAACTTGCACTGACGTTACCTAGTTGGGTAATGCAACATTTGCAAGCAAACCTGCTCAGAGAACACCAAGGACCCCGCAATTCAACCCTGAAGTTCTCTTCTAAATTGGTTATATTAAATATACCTTGAGATTTTAACCGTGTGAAAAAAATACACATTTTTGATCTTAGTGTCAAAATCTCCACTATTTTATAAGTACTAAAAAACAAAGGGAAAACTCCGCTAATCCACTGTAGTATTATTCTTCAAATGGTGCAGCTCTTTTCTCTTTGACCCCCTCCTTTCTGACTTGGGGGGGAACCAAGTTTAAAAGAAGTTCAGCACACCCTACATTACATCATCTTTGAGAAGACTCAGCCGCTTAAAATGGGCTGGTTCTGTTGGTGGTGACACCCTGTGGGTTATTCAAATATTGCAAATAAAACCCAAGTTGTGGGGGAAAAGATTTCACTCAGCAGGGGTCTCTCATACCTGAAAAATCACTCCGTAGAGGCCGGAATAAATCCAGCAAAACAAAAGAGAGATTCCCTACTCCCATCCATGAAAACCTTGTGCTGTTTGAGCTGTTTTCAATATTCTAGTTAGTTGGAGAATTTGAGCGACTAGAAGGCTACGTTACCTTGCTCAAACTTGGCAATTGGAAGAATCTGCTGTGGCCATTATCCTAGGCAAGACAAGGTTCATCTAATTCACTTTCAGCAGTTCTGTGACTTAAATTCAAGCCAACTATCACAACAATGTAAGGAATCCATTTAATCAGAAAATGTGCAAAAGGGTACAATAGATTTTTAAAAGCTAAAGAGGGGGCAGCAATATGACAGGCTTCACGTAGGTTTAGTTCCCAGCTGTAGACATCAACTTTTTGCTTTGCATCTGAAAACAAAACAACACAATTAGCTAGCCAGAAGCTACAAAATAGTATTTCTCACAGTTCACAACAGCTATTCTCACTTATTATTTTCTCACTTATTGTTTCTTTTTCACAAGAGAAGACTGTAGAAGTGCTAGGATTTCAGTTCACCAAAGGATTAATTTAAGTAGTTTCTCTTATGCTAAAATCTGGTCACTCTGATGTTTAGTAATCAGGGTGTATAAAAACAACCTAAGTCTAAGTAACCAGACCAAGTGAAATCTTCTGTGCCCTATTACCAACACCATAAAATGTCCAGCTTAATTTATTTTGAAATAGATGTCACCAAGAGCCACAGAGACTTGATGGCACATAATTAAACAGACTGACCAGTTAACTTAAGCACGTTCAAAAATCAATAAATGTTTTGCACTAAAGTTTCAACCTGGCACACAGGAAGCATAGGATTACTTATTAAACAGAAAAGATCAAACCTTACTCATTTTGTAGAAAAGGACAGTTGGGAGAATTATTCCTGGACTGCAGGGATCTCATTATAGCTGCACACCTGTAAGGAAGTTAATACACATTTAAGTGAAGGATTTTTGATGAACAGGGAAGTTTCATTATTAACTATCTGGTGTGTTTATTACTTTTATGCATTTTTTAATTATTCATAAACCACCTGGACCTGTTTTGAGGCTTCAGCAATCTATAAATAAATGTTAACTAATATTAACTAAGCTCTGCCCCTTGTTGTAATGTTCACTTCCTCATTGAAAGATATCCCGTAGCCACCCTGATAACAGATTCCTTCAATTCATCAACCAGCTGGAACGAACAACTTCCTAAAGTCTTCTCCCAGGACCCAACCATCTTTGAAAACCACCTAGATTCAATTTGGGAGATGCCCTAAAAAAATCTGTCATGTTGACTTCCCAATCCAGGAGCCTTACCCAGCTTTGGAGACAGGTGAAATCCATCCCGGGCAGTTGTGGTCTGAAGGATGCCGATGACGAAGACAAAAGTTCTGGTGACACTGGTCACAAACCAGCCGCATCATCTCTTTCTGCAGCCTCCTTTGAAGCATTCGTTGGTGAAGATCTAAACGCCAAGGAGATCCCATCAAAATCACACCAAATTGAGCTAACGCACTGATATTTAGTACCCCTTGTGAGTAGTTGGCCTACTTGGTAAATTGCAACTGATAGTAAAGTGCAGGGCTGGATTCCACAGTTCAGGGCCAACTCCAAGTTGGCTTCCCCATAAACCAGTGTTTCTCAACTTAACAACTTTAAGATGCATGGACTTCAATTCCCAGAATTCCCCAGCCCGCCATGCTCTTTCCAGCCTTTTCCCATTTTTCTTTTAAGGGAATGTGGTCCTTAGCTCAAATTAGTTCTTAAGCAAAATAAAGGCACTTTCTAAAGTTAAAGCTCCATGCAGGCAGGAGGAAGACAGAACCAAGAATGAGAAGAGGCCCACACCTCTTAAGAAGGTCCTTACTTTCTGCTTCTGCTGGGCTGAATCCTTTTGACAGTCCCGATCCATATGGGCGCCCCCACAGCTACATCGGGCATCTCTCCCTTTCTGACAGGGACCAGAGTGTTGCAAAGAGGGCAGACTGGAACCTGTACATCCTAAAACAAAAGATTATCAGGTTGAAGTCAACAAAGACAAGGCAGAGTAAGTCGTTGAATGGCTAACATCACCTCCCTCACTGGGCACTTTTAAGCAATCCTGTACTCTGTACCTTAATGAAAGTTCTAGCTAATTACTAAGGTTTGCACTAGACAGTTGGTCCTAAAGCAAGCAAGCTGAAGGATAGTCAGCCCCTTTTCCACACAAATCCTTCACTTTTTATTATTTTGCTTCTTTGTCAGGTCTTAGGTCTCACAGTATGTCATGATTTTAGACAGTAGACTAGGAGTTATACTTTTCCAGCTTGAAATAGGGCCAATGCTATAGGCCACCAGCACAAGGACGAGGAACAGTTAAAAAACTCGTTCAACACCAGCATTTTTGCACAGCTAGTTATGCATTGGCACACACCATCCCCATTTCACAAAGTTCACAATGCCATAAATACGGATCACCTTCTTATACGCTGAAGAACACTTGTGTCGCCTGTAGACAATGTGGTCTTTGCAGAAAAGCTCCTTGCAGGCATCACATTTCAGAGGAAGAAAATCTTCAGAGGAAAAAAAAAAAAAACAGCAAACACGGTAAGTTGGATTTATTCTAACGCAAGACATATGGTGGTCTTCCCAAATCACAAGAGTTGTTGTTATTCCTTAAAGGAGGGACACCCCAAGCACACACACACACACCCTTCCCATGATCCGTACCCAGCCGTCTGCAGGTCTTCTCGCAGCAGTGTTGTCCCAGGTCTGGGAATTCCATTTCTTTAGAAGCCCACTTCCCAGAATCTAGAAGAGGAGGTTGTGTAAGTTTGCTTTTCTGACAGGACACACAGCAGCCAGATTCACACCCAGAGATGACATGTGTGACTTCTGTCATCAGTGTTGTTGAGTAAGTCATAGTAGCCTATGTCAAATACCCCATTTGGCTTTACCATAACCCCCCCCCCCACACACACACACACACCAATCATTTACACCGGGGTATCCAACCTTAGCAACTTTAAGACCTGTGGACTTGACTGGCTGGGGAATTCTGGGAGTTCCTCCACAGATCTTAAAGTTTCCAAGGTTGGACACCCCTGATTTACACAATAGCAAAGGCTCAAGGCAAAGAAACTCCTTTAGGACTCAGGTGTAATCTGGGTGTAAGCACAACCCAGTTTGATCAAAGCCATTCTTCTGCCAAACAGACTTACTAAAGTCCAGGTTGAACTTTGCTACTAAGAACAACGACCAGCCCCCTCTCCCAAATTCTAAGTCGGAGAGATTCCCCATCGCCCACCTTCGGAAAGTCCCATGTGCTTAATAAATAAGCCAGGATTTGAATACAGGCTTCAACAAACCACTCAACAGCACCCGGGATTACATTCCTATAACTACTTTAACCGCCTTTCACTAAGTGAGCCAAAAGGGAAAGAATTAACCCAACACATACCAAGAGGAACAGAATCACACAACATACTTAGCCACACACTCGCACTGAGTTTAGCAAGCTGTGGGAATGCACTCCCGTGTCGGTTCTCTCCAACGTGGCGGGCAGGATAGAGACCCCGCAGGATCTGCGATAAAAACACAAAGGCCTGTGTAGACTAACACAAAAACACAACCCGCCAAGCGCTCCGACGCTTTATGTAGCTCAGCGCAATTTCGCCGATTCATAGTTTACTTCCGCCTCCCGGTTGCCGAATCAGAACAGACTTTGTCAACGTCACCAGCGCCCCGACCAATCACGGGAAACCCGGCTTTGGGTTTTTCGCTGAATCAGGGCGTCCCGCCTCCTGGCTCTCTAAGCGTGAGTCAGCGTTTCTTCTGGCCGGGGCTGACCCGCTTTTTGCGGGATTTGAACTCGAGCCCTTGCACACGACCCGCGGGGCAAACCCGTGTTTGGCTATCGCCTGGATCAAGGGCCGTGAAAAAAGCAGCCCTTGCTTGCTTTTTCTCACCCATAATGATAATAATAATAAATCAACATGTAGCCACTCTAGGTGGCTGGGAAAAAAATAAATTCAAATTATATTTCTGCCCATCTCACATATATCATTTTAGGTGGTTAGCAATAAGAATAGATAAAACACAAACAATATAGAAATAACCTCTTTTTAGCTTTGTTATTAATAGTAACTATTATTGCTCTCCAGAGTTCCAGATTTTTATTTATTTGTTTTGAAATATTTGATTGATTTTATTTTTTGGTAATGACTTTGATTCTTGTCGGCTGACCCGAGTAATTTAGAGTTAGGTGGCATACAAGTTTAATAGATTGTTGTTGTTGATGGTGGTGTTGTTATCCCCAAATTTGTGGCCTAATTCTGTGGCATGTCTGAAGTCCAACATAACATGAGCAGAGAGTTGGACTAGATGGCCTCCAAAGTCCCTTCCAACTCTGTTATTCTGGAAAGTGCCAGAAAACACGAGAATAAAGTCAGGATATGGGACCTTGTGGGTGACTAAGCAGTTTCCTGTTTCTGCCTCACACCCAGCTCTGACTCATAATGTTGTATCAGACAAACAAAGGTACATAAAGTTTCCAGTTTCTTCCAACTCGTTTGTATTGTCCAACATACGTCAAAAGCGCCAGATTGAAAGGCTGGAATAAAGTTACTTTTAACGCTCCAGAGCGCTGTGGATTGACCAAATAGAAAGAGAAGGAGGGATGGAGAAGGAAAAAGAGTAGGTGGAGGAGAAAGAAAAGGAGGAATGAAGGAGAAGGAGAAAAAGAAACAACAGGTCTGACCAACAGGAACCTCAGCCTGATCCAGTTTCAGGACTCACAGAACTGGAGGAAAAGCTGGTGCTGTGCACACTGGGACCCCCAAGACCCCAGATAAAGACCCAACCTTACTTGTTTATCTGCAATTTCCCACCCCCTTTAACCGCTCCTCTTGCGGTGGAGGTATCTCCCTGCCTTCACACATCATGCCAACACCATTGGTCAAACTGCAACCTGGTTGAACAAATCACAATACTCGGGTTTCCGAACCCTGCTAAACCCAAACGAAGTATCAGGGCTCAGAGGTTGGGTCAGCCCAGCCATTGGGGGCTAATGGGAAGCCAGCTCACACACCTTCTAGCCCAGGGGTCTTCAAACTTGGCCCTTTTATGACTTGTAGACTTCAACTCCCAGAATTCTTCAGCCAGGCACACGTGCCTAGCTAAGGAATTCTGGGAGTTGAAGTCCACAAGTCATAAAAGGGCCAAGTTTGAAGACCTCTGGTCTAGCCCAAGACCTCCTAGCTCTCTGGTTCCTGCCTAGGAGAAGATGCAAGGAAACAAATTTGACACCACCAATCAGGACCACTAGAGAAGATGGAGAGCCATCGGAGGTCAACCTTCTGCCCAGCTCCTGGCCTTCTTGAACTCTGACCCTTGGGCTGGACAGCTCTCCCTGCCCCTGGCCATCGAGTTGCCTCGCTGGCTTGCCTCCTGCTCAGATGAGGAGCCCACCCACCTTGCTTGTGGTGGTGGGACATGGAACCCCTCCTGGCTCTCTGACAGCAGAGGAGGCCAGAGGCCCCAGCTGAGCAAAGGGCTCAGCCTAAATTGCTCTCCAAACTGAAATGTCACTCTTTCTGAAGAGGAGCCGGGGAAAAATGGAAACCCCGCGCTGCGACAGCGTTCTTGGGCTTATATTCTTAGCCAGGCTGAGACCAGGATCATGGGCTGTGCCGTTTGATAGAGGAGGTACCCACAGGAAGATAACAAAGCCGTCGTTTTGTGCAGCAGATTTTAAGTTCTTAAGGAAGTCTGCAAATCTAAACAGAGACGGGGCCCAGCTGGCCCAGGCAGAGAGAGGCATCTTAAAAAGAAGACAAGGATTAGAAATTAGCTAAGGTCTTAAGAGGTCTATTTTTAGATGTTCTCCCCTTCTTCTGACACATTTTGGGCTCCTGAGATCTGGGAAGCCAAAGCGCCAGCCCTGGCTTTGCTGGCGCACGCAGGAAAGATCACACGACGAGAGGAGAGATTACAGCGGCTGGCTTAGCAGCCCGGGAGTGGGAAGAGTTGGAGATGATTTGCAGGGATTTGGCAAATGGGAAAGTGCTCGGAAAGCAGAATTTAATTAGCAAGAGCCAGCATGAATCGGAAGGGAGGAGGTTGCATGTCCTAGCAGCCCAGGATTAAGGGGGGGGGGGGAGAGGAAAGCAGGCCTGCAGCCAGAGAGATTGAAAGGGGGCAAAGTTAAAATCAGGTCTTCCTTCCTTCCTTCCTTCCTTCCTTCCTTCCTTCCTTCCTTCCTTCCTTCCTTCCTTCCTTCTTTCTTTCCTTCCTTCCTTCCATTCATTCCATTCCATTCCATTCTATTCTATTCCATTCCATTCCATTCTCTCCAACAAAGCAAGGGGACTCAGCTTCACCCCTGGCAAGGGGAGGGGAAATTCTCCCACAGTATTTTCATTTTTGCACATTTTCTTTGCCATAATTTAATATACCACACAAACTAATAAAATTAAGAGCAGTATATAACTCCAGAAGCACCATTAGAAGAATCCTAACCTGCAAGATTAATATATAACGCTTTAGCCCAGGGGAGATTGCAAATAAAAGTTAAAAAGAAGACAAGGATTAGAAATTAGCTAAGGTCTTAAGAGGTCTATTTTTAGATGTTCTCCCCTTCTTCTGACACATTTTGGGCTCCTGAGATCTGGGAAGCCAAAGCGCCAGCCCTGGCTTTGCTGGCGCACGCAGGAAAGATCACACGACGAGAGGAGAGATTACAGCGGCTGGCTTAGCAGCCCGGGAGTGGGAAGAGTTGGAGATGATTTGCAGGGATTTGGCAAATGGGAAAGTGCTCGGAAAGCAGAATTTAATTAGCAAGAGCCAGCATGAATCGGAAGGGAGGAGGTTGCATGTCCTAGCAGCCCAGGATTAAGGGGGGGGGGGGAGAGGAAAGCAGGCCTGCAGCCAGAGAGATTGAAAGGGGGCAAAGTTAAAATCAGGTCTTCCTTCCTTCCTTCCTTCCTTCCTTCCTTCCTTCCTTCCTTCCTTCCTTCCTTCCTTCCTTCTTTCTTTCCTTCCTTCCTTCCATTCATTCCATTCCATTCCATTCTATTCTATTCCATTCCATTCCATTCTCTCCAACATTTGGGTAAGCAAGGGGACTCAGCTTCACCCCTGGCAAGGGGAGGGGAAATTCTCCCACAGTATTTTCATTTTTGCACATTTTCTTTGCCATAATTTAATATACCACACAAACTAATAAAATTAAGAGCAGTATATAACTCCAGAAGCACCATTAGAAGAATCCTAACCTGCAAGATTAATATATAACGCTTTAGCCCAGGGGAGATTGCAAATAAAAGTGAAATATGACAATAGCAATTCTGGGTTAATAAATAACTTTAAAGAGAAATAATGAAGAGGCGGTCTACAACTTTAATGGCCTTCTTAAGATTCATTATTTCAAAAATAGCTGCTGGTCCCTCTCCTTGTCTCTCCTGGCGGATGCACACAAATTTACCGGCCAAATCTTTTGAATGCCTTTTGGACAAGGAGATGGCATTTGTCTCAGGAATGTGACAATGGGCAGACTGTTAGGAAAATGGAAGAAAGCTCCGTGTTCCTCCCCCTTCCAGTGTTCTTGGACTCCAGATCTCATCACCCCCAGCCAACCTGGCTAACGATCTGTGAGCCCTGCAATATTTAGGCTGCCCCAAATCTAAGTGGCGATTCAGAAGTTCTGTGTTGTCTCTTCCTTAGATCAAATTTTCCACTTCCCCTTGAACCTCTGCAGTTTGTTAGATATTAAACTATGAAAACCTTTGAAAGTCGTTTTTGGGCATATGAGAAGAGCTTGGTTGAAGAGACATGCCAGGGAAGCCTTCGCCACAAGGAGCTTGTTTTAATCTATAGAACTCCCTGCTACAGGAGCTGGTGAGGAACAGCAGCTTTGACAGGGGAGGAGAAAACTGTAAGATTAAAACATCTGCATGGGAGGGAAGTTAAAGCCAAGCAGCTGGGACTTCAGGAGGTTGAATTAAATGGAATTGGTGCCCAATTCAGCAAGTTTCTTGTAATGTTAGGATCAGCCCCTGAGCTCCCAATACAGGTAGTCCTTGGCATAATCTTAAACCTGGGATCAAAGGAAGACCTCCTTCCATGAATTTCAGCTCTGAGCTGCATTTGGAACTATCTGCCACTAGATGGCAACAGCTCCTTGCTGGGTTTGGGGCCGTTCAAGAAATATTGGATTAAGGGTGTTAGAATCAGGAGGAAAAAAAGTTGCCAGTCCTCTCTGTGACTTGGTTATTATTATTATAATATACAGGTAAGTCTCGACTTACAGCCATTTGTATGATGACTATTCAAAGTTACAACGGCAGTGAAAAAACTGACTTAGGACCATTTTTTCACCCTTATGACCGCTGCAGCGTCCCCGTGGTTACGGGATCAGTTTCAGATGCTTGGCAACTGACTCGTGTTTATGACTGTTGCAGCATCCCAGGGTCACGGGATCCCCCTTTGCGACATTCACGAGAAAGCCAGATGCATTTAAGAACGGTGTTACTAATTTAGCCATTGCAGCAATTCATTTGACGGGGCAAAATCCTACCAGCAGAGAGCAGCAATGCCTCCCTAACCCTCAAGTCCACATTCTCCTGCCTATTAACTAACATCTCCCTGTAATCATAAAATGTAACTTTGCAATTACGGTGTCGGATTGGAAGTCTCGCGCCAAATTGATATTTTAGCCACAACAGTAAACTTTTGCTGATGGCCGATAATTTGAAGAGCGGGGGCCAGATAAAAAATTCATAATGGCAGAGGCAGCCTGGAGTACGGACAAATTATATTTAATGCTCAGAATTGTCAAGCAATTTGCTGCAGGCCCTGGATATAATAAATAGAGGATGTGACAAAATGGAATCACAGGAACCAGGCGTCCTTGGGATGCAGAGAAGCCTAGATGGACACGCACAGTGTTTTAAGAGATAACTGGTTAGGAGTTTCCAACTTGGACATCATGTTTACGGAACCCAAATGCTGAGGAACACTTGAGTGTGCGTAAGTGTATGTGACCTTACACAATGAGATTTGCTCCCAGTTTATATATAATTTAGCTTGTCCTGCTGGTGTGGGTGAGACTTGTGGTTTTCTCCTTGGTAGTTCCTTGATTAAGGCATTGCTTTCTGCTTGATTGTTTGTCTGGGTTTAATCCCTGCTTATCTGGTTGTTGGTTGCTGGAGAGAATGTGTTTTGTCTTTTCCTTCCTTCCTTCCTTCCTTCCTTCCTTCCTTCCTTCCTTCCTTCCTTCCTTCCTTCCTTCCTTCCTTCCTTCCTTCTGTTATGATAGCCGTAAATCAAGTCATCCATGTGATTGACCTTATTTTATGACCTTTCTTGCAGCAGTCATTAAGTAAACACCACAGTCGTTAAGTGAACCCATTTTACAGACTGTTCTAAAATACTGTTGCATGACCATAGGATGCTGCAAACGAACGTAAAGGTACAGGTAGTCTTCAACTTATGATCACAACCGAGTCCAAGTTTTATGTTGTTAAGTGAGAAATTTGTTAATATAATAATAGAATTTGTTAATAAAATTTGCCCCATTTTATGACTTTTCTTGCCACAGGGAATCAGTGCAGTTGTAAAATTAGCCACACTGTTGTGAAGTGAATCTGGCTTTGCTTCTCAGAATTGTCCGCCTGCAGGGCCCATACGTGATCTCCGTAAAAGTCCAAGGATATCCAGTGCTGAGTTTTTAACTCTCATAATGTTGTTTCCTGACGGCACTCAGATATGAGAAATTGTATTCTGAAGAAGCTGCTTCCTTCCTTTGAAATAGAGAAGGCCCTGGAAAGAGATTGGTGAGGTCTTGATAAAATCTAACCATCGTGCAGATTCACCTTTGTAGATGATCTACCCAGAGACTTAACTCCCCTTTTCTTCCTCCCCTCCCCCAGTTTAATTACTGGAGAAGGATGTTTATCAATAAGAACACATATTTGGGTGCAAGGCCAACCTTCGGTGCACCTAACGGAGCTAATGGACTCCTACAGCAACACAGAGCATCAGGAGACTCTTCAGAGACAATAATAACACTT